GGCGATGGCGTTCAATGTCTCGAGGGTCTGTCGATAGTATTCTGGGTGACGGGACTCGACGGCCTAAAAACAAAAAAAAAATCACAAAAATTTGCAGAATGCAAAAGTTTTTTTTATCTTCGCACTGTGCGTTCAAATTTTTTTTGCACAGTGCAAACCAACAATTTATAAAAAAAAATCGTCTGCACTGTGCACACCTGAACGTTTTGCACTGTGCATCACAGCTTTCCCTCTCCTTCGATCCATTGCACAGTGCGATCATAAAAATCCGTAACAATTTCGACCGCACAGTGCGTTCACAATTTTTTTGCACAGTGCAATCCAACAATTTATAAAAAAAATCGTTTGCACTGTGCACCACATTCCTTCATCTCTTTTGATCCATTGCACAGTGCGATCCAAAAGATCCGCGACAAATCGAAACGCACAGTGCGATCACAAATTTTGCACGGTGCAACCCAACAATTTATAAAAAAATCGACTGCACTGTGCCCCACATCTCTTCCTCTCCTTCGATCCATTGCACAGTGCGATCATAAAAATCCGTAACAATTTCGACCGCACAGTGCGTTCACAATTTTTTGCACAGTGCACTTCAAGAATTTATAAAAAAAATCGTCTGCACTGTGCATCACATCCCTTCCTCTCCTTCGATCCACTGCACAGTGCAATCCAAAAAATTCGCGACAAATCGAACGCACAGTGCACAATTTTTTGCACGGTGCAATCCTAAAATTTATAAAAAAAATCGTCTGCACTGTGCATCACATTCCTTCCCCTCTTTCGATCCATTGCACAGTGCGATTCAAAAAAAATCGTAACAATTTCGACCGCACAGTGCAATCACAAATTTTGCACCGCACAGTGCGATCACAATTTTTTGCACGGTGCTGTCCAACAATTTATAAAAAAAATCGTTTGCACTGTGCATCACATCAATTCCTCTCTTTCGATCCATTGCACAGTGCAAACCGAGAATCTATAAAAAATCGTTTGCACTGTGCATCAAACAACCATTCGCACTGTGCAATCCCAAAATTTATAAAAAAATCGTCTGCACTGTGCATCACAACCTTTCCCATCTTTCAATCCATTGCACAGTGCGATCCCAAAAATTCGTGACAATTTCGACCGCACAGTGCATATTTCCCCATTTATTTTCTTTGCACAGTGCAATCATATTTTTTCGGCAAGCAAAATTTTTCTTTATAAAACCCATCCCTACCCTCTGTAACACTTCAATAATCGACATTTCGTCCAATCCGTAGCTGGAACAGGTCCCATTTCGCATCAACTTGACGATACTCTTGAAGAACCGGACTTTTTCCATTTTTCGCGTAATTCTTGGCGATTCCGAAATTTCTTCCATCAAATTAATGATTTCTGAGCCCAGAAGAGGCTTTATTTCCTCAACTGTGGCCAATTTCTCGGCCGGCAATGAGGTTTTTCCGGCTAGTGTAAGGAGAAGTTGTAATGTGCGGATTCTGATGATAAATTTGGAGTTATTGAGGAGTTCCATGAGCGCTGGGATCGAATCTACAACAATTTACCGTGATTTCATTGAATTTCGAAGCGTTTCTGATTTTCAAAGTTTTCGTGGTGGGACCCAAAAATATTACTGTAAAAAATGTAACGTATTTAAACTCGAATATTACACTTTTAGAAACTTACACTCCGCTCTAAAACCAAAATTTTTGGCTTCCCTGATTCTCAATCTTTCGTGGTAAGACCTAAATTTTCAAAAAAAAAACAAAAAAATCTCACCCGAAATCGCTGTGGAGTGGATCCTTTGTGCCAAAACATTCATACAATCCAGCCATAGCACTAAGTTCTCTGGGAATTCAGAATCTATCAAGAACGGGAGGATTCTTTGCAACATTTGCACTTGATTTGTTGTCCAATGCTGCGGATAATCGGCTAGTCGGGCCAAGTTGGACAGGAAAGAGCGGGTGAAATGGCGACTTTTGAGGAATTGGGGCATCTCAGTGAGAAGGAGGTCGATCTGAAATGATTTATATTAATTTAGACCATATGTTGTGTTAATCCGACAGTATCCCATAAAAACTACCGTAAGACTCAAACTTCGACAAAACTTGGCCAAGACAAATTTTACACCTCCTCACAGTCTCAGTAAAAATTTCCAAGCTTATACTACAGTAATCCTCAAGATACAACAATTTTAAAATTTTACACCCTTCAAAAACCAATTTTTCCAAAAAAATCGCCAAAATCTCCCACCTGCTCATTCAATGCCAGTCCATTTCTCTTCGCCAGCTCCGTGAGTGCATTTAATACAACCAGGCTGACCTTTTGGTCCGGATTGTTGCGCAGTAATGACCTTCCGAGTTCCATGCACTGCTTCGTGACCATAACATTTTCTTGGAACAATGAGAGGTCGTCCATGAGGCGAACCTTCAAGCTCTCCTCGGTTTGGGTTTCTGACACCATTTCGCCGATTTTCTCGACAATCAGCGACGAAAATTCACTGAAATTGGAAGATTTCAGGGTTTCGTGGCGGGACCCAATTTTTGAAAATCATGAGTAAAATGCCCTATGGCAGTAAAAACACAAAAGTAGAGTCAACCAGACAAGTAGAACTTACAATTTCACAAAATTAAATTGTTTCAGATTTTCGTGGCGGGACCCAGAGAAAGGTCAAAAAAATCTATCGAAAACATTTGAAAACCAAAAAATTAGAAAAAACTCAAATGTGCAAAAGGTCAAATGCGATCCATTGTAATGTAAAATACCCCATTCGGTAACTTTTTGATCCACTTACGCCGAAAATTTCCCGAGATGACCAACTGATACAATGGCAGCGGTAAGTTCGGTGAGATCAGTGCAATCAGCGCCTTCAACGAGCAAATGATGCACCTAGAACATTTTGAATTATTTTACAGTCTAAACACTTGATATTACACATGAAAAAAATTTCAAAAAAAAAAATTTTCCAAAAAAAATTTTTTTTATGAAAAAGCAAAAAAAGATCGCTAAAATGAAATTCAAGAATAGTAATCGTATTTCCACCCACTTTCTTATTCGAATGCACAATTGGAGCGGCAGCCGCGAAGAACAACATGGTCAAAGCGCGGGATTTGTAGTCATTGGAATGGGAAACCTTCATCACTCGGCGGACAATCTCGTCCTTGGAGAACACAACGGCCAGATCCATGCCACATTCTCTTAACAGCTTCACAATCCGCAAGCGGATCAGGTTCAGGGAATGATCCATTTTGGTCAACTTTTCGCCATTGAAGGTGTCGGCCAAACGGAGAAGAAGAGCGTTGACGAAAAGGGGAAACGGATTCTCGCGGATGGCTTTGGAACATTGGGCTATTGCGGACAGATGATCGGAAAGATTGGAGCTTTGGAGGGCTGGAAGAATGAGAAATAATTTTTTTACTTTGCTCATGAAAGAGTGACAGAAAATAACGGATTTACAAAATCCTCTGCAATTTAATTTTTTGTATTTTTATTCTTCCACAAAGCTGAAGTCATAACCTCTCGAAAAATATCAAGTTTCGTCTATAAAACTGAGAAATAACCGCCTAAAACATCAAAAATGGAATATGGCCAACACCATCAAAAACAATGTCAAGAAAATCGTCTAAAACAATGTTGGCGTGTTTCTTTGAAAACCCAAATTTTAAGCCAACTTTCATGACACTCTCACTCAACTCTATGCAAAAAACCCCGTGAAAATACTGTCTCATGACAAAGATACAGCAATTTTCCCATTCAGCAAAGAAAAATTGTCGAATTCTAACATGAAATCAGCCGGCCTTGGTAAAAACGGCAAAAAATATTTTTGTTAGGCCAATCATAGCCTCATTGTTGCATTTGCCGAAAAGATTGACCATTTTAAAAAAATTTCTGACCTTATTTTAGGTCATAAGCCGCAAACGCATTTTCGTTCTTCGAAAGTCTAAAAACAAAACCAACACAAACAAAATTAACTTACCACGCTCAATCTGTGTCAGAGGATTCATATTTCATAAAGTTTTAGCAGATTATACTCCAAAACCACCTCGAAATTGAACAAAACCTTCAATTTCCAAAAAAAATTATTTTCGAGAAAAATCAATTCTGGCACTTCGCCGCAAATTCTATTGATTTTTTCAAATTGCGGCGCACGAAATCGCTGGGCCCGTTTCGATCGTTTGCACGGTGCGAAATTCCGCTGAAATTGGGCACCGTGCGACAGGCAACCTCATGATCGCACTGTGCTCACATTTGGAACCCCCGTTTTCACGAGTTCGGGGGAAAACCGCTCAATTTGGAGGACGGAAAAAGTGCAACGCTGTCGCGCAAAATTGCACCGTGCATTCGGCTTTGTCGTTCATTTCGCACTGCGATTCCGAAAGAAAAGGCTGGAATTGGGTTTCGCACTGTGCAATTGAAGGCGCTTCTCTTGCGCAATCGTAATCTTCTCGAAAATTTGCGTAGAATACCCTATACAATTTTGTCGCCGGGTCCACTCCTGCACGGTGCGGTGAAATTTTGGGGTTTGCACTGTGGCTTGGGATTTCGGTTGGTTGCGCAGTGCAAAATGGGTTCTTCGGGGTTGACTGCACAGTGCAAATTGGGGGGCTCTTTGTTTTGGAGTTATTAGCGTCGGAAAAAGAGATGTAAAAGGGGGTAATGAAGATGGAATAGGTGAAATTTGAAGCACTCTCGCTGAGGAGGGTGTGGTAATGGGAGATCATAAAAAAATTCGGGTAAAAAATTAATGTTTTCTTGTTGTAGTAGACATTTGATAAAACAAGGTTAATTTTGTCCTATTTTTTGATAGATCTATGAAAAAATTTGTCTATAGAGGTTATCCAGTCATAATCTAACTATTTCCTTCGAATACGACAAACTTCCGATCAGTTTTTATCTTATTTTAACGATCAAATCCAATTTCTCTTGAAATAATATTTACTTTTACTTCATTTGCTGTATTTACACGTATGAGAAAGTTAAATTATGTGATAAATAAGAGGACAAAAGTAGATTATTCATTCAACACCTTCGTCTTCCTCGTCGGTGAAGCCCATTTCGATGCGGCATTGTTTTTCCTCCTTCGGCCCGAAGGTCTCGTTGATTCCCCACATGGCGCGGATTTGTTCGGCTGTTTTGCCGCGTAGCGTGTTCGCAACTTGCTTGCATCCCAACTCCAGCAACGGCTCAATGTCCAAGTAGTTGGCGGCAGCAATAATGTCGAACAAAGTTGCGGCGTCCACCTCCAAAAAAGCTGTGTCCCACTCGCTCGGATCCGTTTTTCGTTGCTTTTTCGAAGGCTCGGAAGTCGAAGCTTCCTCCGAGTCTGTCGAAAAATCCTCCTTGTGCTGCTCGCACCATTCCAGCACCTTCTTCAGGATGTGACTTTGCACATTTTCGAGGGGAATTTCTTCGCCTCCGCCGCTTAAACCGAGGTCCGTGATCATTGTGTGCAGCATTTTGGAGGGACGCAGGACGTCGCCGTCCACTTCGAACTTGTCCCCGTCTTTGGAAGTGAGGACAAACTTGGACATTTCGGACGGCTCGCTGAAAAAACAGATTTTTGATATCACCATCATGTGCAATATAAATCATGATGAAAATTTTATTGAAATTGAAGAAAAATGGGACAAAAAGTTAAAATTAGTTCAAACACCACCCCTAGAATTGATTTCACAACCAAAGCTCCATTAAAAATATAGTTTTAGACCAGTTTTAGACCAACTCTAAGATCACCAAATCCCCACAAAAATTGAATGAAATCCTCATCTGGAATGTTCTCTGGTGATTTCCAAGATAACAGAAATATTTTTCGGAATATTACACATGAGGTAAATGGCCTCCTTTCATAAATTTTTTAGAGCAGAAAATAGTAGCTAACACGCATTTGTTAAAAAAAAAATATTTTTGAAAAAGAATGATGCTGAAACAAGCTGTATAACAAGATTGTAATACTTTCCACAACATCCATAACACCAACACAAAATATTTTTGATCTATTCGGAGTATAAATTATATAATTCTAGGCTATTTTGGCAAAAAAAGTATCAAAATAAAGATTTTTCTGGATGTCTACACAATTGTATTTCAACTTACATCAAGATTTCGCATCTTCTCCGAGATTTTTGCAAAATCTGTGAAATATTTTATAAATCGAACAGAATGCCAAGAAATTTTTGGCAGTCATTGTTTTCGTTGTAAAGTTATAACTTCACGGTAAGAATATGGCTAGAAACCGATGGTAATCGGTAACGAAATTATTTTCTGATCTATTTAGCACCAAATCCGCCTTTTCAACGCGCCGTTCGCATAAAACTTCCAGAACATTGGGCAGAATTCCGAGTCCCGCCACGAAAACAAAGCGTGCGAATGGAATGCCAGGCGCGAAATATTATTTCTACATAACTAACCTTTTTTTATGCACACGGTACATGTAAAATGCGTTTTACTTGGTTAGAATTACATTTATTTACAAGTTTCCCGAAGTTTTAATTGTTCCGTTTATTCGGCATGGTTTTCGCTTTTTGATAACTAAAAAATTTCGTTTTTAGTTGATCCTCACACCCAATCAGAATGTTCGGTGGAAATAAGCCCTTATTTGGAGCTCCGGCAACAACAACCGCTTCTTCGACAACCCCAAGTACAGGCAAGTTGTTTTCTATTGAGTATTTATTGGTTTAGGTCTGTTCGGACAAACTTCCCAGCCCAGTACCGGCTTTTCCTTTGGCCAGCCTGCCACATCTGCTCCATCCACCAACCTATTTGGAGGCCAGACATCTGGAGGTGTTTTTGGAGCTAAGCCAGCCGCAGGTGGATTATTTTCGGGTCTCTCGACTTCAACTGCTGCTCCTACATCAACTCCCGGATTATTCGGCACTCCAGCGGCTTCAACTGCTCCGGCGGCGGCTTCAACTCCGGCTGGAAGTTTGTTTGGAACTCCGAAGACTACCGCCGCTCCTCCCAGTTTTTCGTTTGGGCAGGCAGCCACACCAGCCGCCTCAACCAGCCTTTTCGGAGCCCCAGCATCTGGAGGTGGTATATTTGGAGCCCAGCCGGCCGCCACAACAGCTGCTCCAGCGTCGGTTGGCCTGTTCGGGACGCCAGCACCAAGTACGGCACCTTCTGCGACGTCTGCTCCAGCGTCGGGTGGTCTGTTTGGGGCTCCAGCAGCTAGCACGGCACCTAGTGCAACATCGGCTCCAAGTTTATTTGGAGCCCCGGCTTCGAGCACCGCCACTTCCTCAGCTGCACCAGGAGGATTATTTGGAGCCGCAGCCACTGCAACGACCACTGCTGCGCCGGCTGGAGGATTATTTGGAGCCACTACAACGTCAACTGCAGCTTCGGCACCAGCTTCAGGCGGACTTTTCTCCGGTTTTTCGACTTCAACTGCTCCGACATCGACTACCGGTGGATTATTTGGGACTCCGGCGGCTTCAACTGCCCCCACGGTAACTTCAACACCTGCAACTTCCGGTTTATTTGGAGCTCCGAAGACCGGCGCCGCTCAGACTGGGATTTCCTTTGGCCAGCCAGCCGCACCAGCCGCCTCGACCGGCCTCTTTGGAGCCCCGGCGTCTGGAGGTCTGTTTGGAGCCAAACCAGCCACAACAACCGCTGCGCCAGCGTCGGGTGGGCTTTTTGGCGCTCCAGCAGCAAGCACGGCACCTAGTACAACATCAGCTCCAAGTTTGTTTGGAACCCCGGCTGCGAGTACCGCCACTTCGTCAGCTGCTCCAGGAGGGTTATTTGGAGCCACGTCCACCGCCACGACCACTGCTGCGCCGGCAGCAGGGTTATTTGGAGCAACTGCTACGTCAACTGCAACTTCGGCTCCAGCTCCAGGCGCAGGGTTATTTGGAGCGACTACAACTTCAACTGCAGCTTCCGCACCCGCTCCAGGCGGACTTTTCTCATCCCTTTCGACTTCAACTGCCCCCACATCAACTTCCGGTGGACTATTTGGAGCTCCGGCGGCTTCAACTGCCCCTTCGGTGACCTCAGCTCCTTCAGCAGGCGGTATTTTTGGAGCTGCAAAAACTGGCGCTGCACTTTCTCTTGGAACAACTCCGGCTACTGGAACCCTCGGAGCTGCCAAACCCGCTGATTCGACGCAAGGACTGCAGGGAAAACTGAAGTTTACCGAGTTGGACACGTTATTGAACAAGTTGTCCATTGATCTTCAAGAACAAGATAATCGGTTCCAAGAAATTTTGACGCAGGTCAACCAACAGGATCTGGTACTCTTTGATAGACAACAGAAGGTGAGAAAGGAGCGATTTTGGATTTGAGAATGGCTTGAGAGAGATTTTAAGGTTTTTGGATGTTGCACTGTGCGATAAAAGAGAATTTTTATTATTGCACAGTGCAGAAAGGAATTTTTTATAAAATTTTTGGCGAGGTAGTAGATTAGTGGACTGACATTCTGTTTTTATAATAACAACGAAGATTTTTGATTCGTGAGTTTGTAATTAAAAAAAAATTTGATTTTTGCACTGTGCAGTCAAAAAAAAAAAAAATTCTTTTTGAAAATTTTAATTTGATTGAATTTCAGTTGGAAGAAGTTGTCAAAGACCTAGATGCCCTCGAGAAGGATCACTTCCGCTTTTCGACTCATGTGGAAATGCTGGAAGAGCAACAAAACGAAGCCAGAAAATTTATTGAAGAAATGGAGAAGAAACTTGGATTGCCCGCCTTCAATGATCCCCAACAGCCAGGCCCAGCCTCAACATTGAATGTGGATGTCAAGAGAGCTGCACTGTAAGCGTTTGAAAATTTTTGATCTCGTATTTAGGTTGTTTCTCCGAGTTTTGACCGCTGTGCTGTGCAGTGAAAACCTTTTTTCGAAATTTTGATGGATTAGAGTTTTGGATCAAAAACTTTTAATTTTCCTATGTCAGGAGGGCTTTTGAAAGGGTTTGAAATTCGTATTTTAAGACGATTGGCCATTTTATTGGATTTTTCAGACATTACTTTTGAAAAATCAAGTGTAATATCCGAATATTTTAGGCTCCAACTCCTCCTCGAGACTGATATCGCCGCCAAACAGCTTGATAATGAAGTAGAAGACGCCACTCAACAACTCCAATCCCTCCGAAACATCAAAACCAAGATCCAGAAGAACACGGAGACGGATGGAAAATCAGCTCTAGAACAATTGCAAGCAATTTTGTCATGCCAAATGGAAGCGATTGTTGGTCTGGAAGAGGAATCCGACGAATTGGCCAAAAGACTCGCCGCTGTTCGCGCTCAGCGATAAGAATTTTTATTATATTATCCATGATGTCACTCTCTAATGTTGGAAAATAATTACGTTAATTTATAGGTTTTTGAATGTTCTGGTTGTCACTTGTGCTGTGGAATATCTCTGTTGAATATAAACAGTAATTTTTATTCAGGTTTTTATGCGATTTCCTGCACTTGGAAAGGCTGGATTGGAGCTTGAAAAAGCACATGTTTATATACAGTAAATATTTTAAGGAGATATAGGTGTCCTCTTGTTGTAACAACACCTCATTCAGACACCGTAAAACCTGGACCGGAGCTGTCCATTCGTTTGTCTACGAGCTCTTCCATTCGTTCGCCTACGAGCTCGTTAAAAGAGCAAGAGATGGAGATGTCAACCGTACCGGATCCCTGAAACGAAACGGGAATAAAGATTCAAGGCGTAAGTTCTCTAAGGAACATGTCGAAATTATAATACCTCGGAATTCTGCGCAGTGGTTGTGATGAACCATCCGTTTTCGGTCTCGGCCAGTTCGCCAGGTCGGATTTCTTCGAATGTTGACGCAATTTCGCCCTTGTGGATTTGAATCTAGAACAATGAATGGCTCTGTCGGGAAAATAATGAGCACAATTTCGCTGTGCCGATCGTGTCGTTGAAGTGAAACACAATTTGATTTTCTGCCCCTTATCTAAAGGGCAGTTTTGAAATAATTGGAGAACACATCCAGAGGTCCCGCTTTGAGTGGCGCTTTAAAAAAATCGCACTTTTTTGTATTCGGGTTTCAATTTTTTAAGTACTTTTTAAGGTACTTTAATTTCACTTTTTCAAAAACTCGTGGCTTACATATCGCAAGGCTCGGAATAGAATCTGATTTGACCATAACCCGCATCGCAGTCCTGGCATTGAAAACAAATTTAAGAGTAAAATGGAGAAATTCAAAATTTAAATTAGTGAAAAATAAAAAAAAACAGTGTAATATCGCCGAATCAACGGCCCATTCCTGATACTCAATTCTTCGATTCCAAATAAGTTTATTGGCAATGGAGAAATCAATCCGCCAAGAGTGCCTGTCGCCCTTCCAACTTGTATGTATCGCGGTGACCAAACATGCAAGTGATCTGAAGCGTAACTGTCCCGGAATCCTGAAAAATCATTTAGCTTTTGCTGTAGAGAAGATGGCAATTTTATTTTTTTTACCTCTGAAGGTTTGGTGATCGAAGCATGGTACCACTGAGTGTTTGTTTGCCAGGGTGAGAGTTGTTCAATAAGTGAGTTGTATTTCGTCTTTTGCTCTGGTGTTACCTAAAATTTTGAGATGACATGAAGGAAAGGTGAGAGAAAAAGCTCAAGTTGCAGCGATTTTGCGGCCGAATTGGCTATAACTTGTTTTGTTTTCTTCCGTACGGCGTATTTTTGCAATTGGCATTATGTTTATCGGATGCCTACAGCATTTTAAAATTAGAAACTCAAACTCGGGTTTTTCCTATCTCCAGGCCTAACTGGCGGCTGATTCAGCTTTTCCGCGGGAGGTGAGTAGGACCAGATACACCCAGCAGGAGCATCAGCCAATTCCCCGGGCAATTTCCCGCAATTCAGCCAGAGCACCCAGCCTTTATCTGCATCCCGCCACGAATTACTCAACTGCTAATTGGCATTCCGCACCGACCGGTCATTGGGACTTCTCACTTGGAATATTTAGAAGAGTCGCTCGCACGTCAATCCAAAATAGAACAAAAAATTTCCCGCCCCTTTTTGGAGATTCGTTCAAAACGAAATGCCACTATCCGACAAAACGCATTTTCTTATCTTTCTTCTTCCTTTTCGAGAAAAAGGAATTATTTCGGGCGACAAAAAGTGCCGATAATTTCGCGACATTTCGTCTCTCTTTTAAATAAATGAAAACGGTACGAAGTTTCGAAACGGTTCAGGAAATGCGTTGGATTGACGTGCTCGGTTGTTTCTGAGGCGGACGGTCGACCATTGCTCGCCGTCCTCACCTCTTTGTATTTGTGTGATTTGCCCCTTTGTTGGCGTTATTGACAGATAAATACTCAGTGAAACATCTTGTCGGCCCTTTATTTCAGTATCTCGGGTCCAGTTCCCGTAATATACTCCTTTCCTGGAGACCTTTGCCCCATTGATGGTATAAAAGGTCCTATTGTCCGCCAATGTCTCAGGCTTACCACAAAACTCGCGACGCCAAAAATTCCTATTCCATCGCTCCTAAATATTCCTCAAAACCCTACCTGATTCACACCATGAACCAAGTGCAAAGTGACTGTGAAATTTATCCCCACATCCGGATTCCCTTCAACGATTTGAATGGAATTCTTAACAGCGGGAGGGACAACGTTCAGATACTCCCAGCTCGCATCAAAATCGACTGCGTAGATGTCCACGTCGACCGCAAAGAAGAGCTGACATTTCGGTGCCGCTTCTCGAAGGGATTCGGCGATTTTTCGGAAGAAAAAAACCGCATTCTCATTGCCAATTGTATGTAATGGTAATGACGCGGAAAGGCTGCGGATATATGGCATTTTTGGGAGACTAAAATGAAAAAATCGACAGTTTTTTTAGATCTTACGGTAAATGCTGATAAATCATGAAGCCATCGCAGTGTTCCAGGAAAATTTCGGTGGCTTTTGGATGGAAAACGTCCAATAGATCTGGAAGAAGGCTTCCGTGAAATTTTTATTTTATTGCTAAAATCAAGCGTTGTCAAACGAATCAACTGAACAAATTTGGTGGCAAAATTTCAACTCACACCCCCGTTTCATCCTGGCTGTCCTCTCATCCCAAAAAGTATTTGTTTCTCTTCGATTATAGTGCAGTTTCCTCTCTGATTTCTCATTTTTCGCGGGTAGAACAAAAACGTTCGCCATGTTCATCCCATAATGACATTGGATACTGTCTTTTTCGGCTTGTAGAGGATGAGGAATTAGAGCAATGTCGAATAAAAGCAGCGAAATTGGACGTGTTTTCAGGTAGTCCGAAAGATATAACGAAACATCGTGTCCTGAAAAAGTTATTGGAGAAAAAATCGCAGTAAATTCAGCTTTGCAAAAACCCACTTTTCGCCCAGAAAATCAACCGAACCAAGGCTTCTTCGAAGATCTCCCGATTAGTGTAAAAATCGTCCAGAACAAAGCTCTTTGATGCCTGATCTCTGCGGGATACGGCCACAGCAATTATTAAAATCGGATTTGACGAGAGAAATGTCCAACGGCATCGCATGTAGAAATGCACCCTGTTCACGACTATGGTAAACTCTGCGGGCGTGAAGAACGTTGAGAGGATGCGATTTGAAGTGAACTGAAGATAATAAAGGATATGATTACAGGTGAAGTGTTCTGGTTCAAAATTTTTACACCTAGTTTAAATGCTTGCGCATTCCGAGAATAGCCGAGATTCGCAACCCAGAGGTAGGCCGTAGTTTGAAATTTTGGGGTGATGGATCTTTTGGCTAGGGAAGAAAAGTGACATACCTATTTCAAGAAACGGTAAATATATGGTAAATATATGGCCTAAAAGTCGCTCCCTTTCCCGTGCTCTGGTCCGAAAACTTCGCTCGATAATTCGACGCCTGCAGTCGATTCTAGCCCGTGGGTTATGAAATTATTTCAAACAGTGAAAAGTACCATAATCTACAATGGTAATAGGCGTTTTCGTCCTCGAAGTAGACACGTAGTATTGCGAACCTACCAGAAAACGTAGTGTGATCTCCGTCAGATAATATCCATGTTCCCAAGGTTCAAGCTCGGATGCAAGGAAGTAATGGGAGAAAACATCCAGAGGCCCCGACTTGAGTTGGGCTAAAAATCGCAATTTTTCTTATCGGGCTTCAATTTTTTTAAGTACCTTTTAAGGCACTTTAATTTCAATTTTTCAAAAACTCATGGCTTACATATCGCAAGGCTTGGAATAGAATCTGATTTGGTCATGACCCGCATCGCAGACCTAGAATTGAATACAAAACTAGCAAGGAAAAATGTAGATCTGCCGAGTAAACAGAATATGAACTAATGTAAATCCAATCTAATATTCTACATCTATTTTTTTCTAGTAGTTGTCACAGTTTCTGGCAAATGAATTGACAATTCCAAATCAGGCAAACAGAAAATAATTACCCCGGTTTTGAGATTATTTTCAAATGATAAAACAGGACTTCTTTCTAAGACTCCAAACTTGAAACCAAAGGCAATGAAACTCGATGACTCATTTGTTTTTTTGACCAAAAGGTTGAAACGTGGGGAAGAGCGTTTCCAAAAATTTCTAACAATAAAAAGCAAGAGGTCTGGAGGAAAAATGTATTTTAATCTTTTAGTGCTATAATTTCCAACTCGCGTTGTGTTGCGGCGCACACTATGTGAAGCTTATTGTGGCGCTTACGGCGCGGGGTTCATTACAGTATTTATATGATCTGAAAGCGGAGCCTTTGCTCTACATCCATACCAATTTTGAAGTCTCTAGCTTCAACGGAAAGCGAGCAATGAATTAAAGAAGGAGATCCGCTTCAAAAAAGTAGAAAAAAATTGGTGTCTTTGTGTCCCAAAAGTACAGAATGCCGTGCGGCGAGCTTTTTTGAGCGCTATGGCTCTTCGAGTCGAGGTTGAGCCTGAACTCTCCCCCTTTTCTGAACTGTCCCCCAATCTGAACTCTATCCCTTTTTCAACTCTACCCCAAAAAAGGCTGAACTCTACCCCTTTTTGAACACTCCCCCATTTAAAAAATTGAAAAAACGAGGTGTGACATATTACAGGGTGGCCAGAAAAAACGGAAACTTTTTTTCATAGGTCCTGGCGCGAAAATGTTTAAGTGTAGCCAAATCATTCTTTTACCATTAAATTCTCCGTGTTCTTCTGCCCTAGTACTTCGATTTTCATGGCCATAGCGATTATTTAACATGGCTTTTTTGTATGTCAAACAGAGGGACCTCGATTTTGGACATTTTTTGGAGCTGTTTGAATTGTTAATTTGATCGGTATGTAAAGGACCTTGTGTCGAATGTAATCACTCAATGCAAGCGGCTTGACAACGACAGTGAGCGTCAGGAAAGTGTAAAAAAACGCAGCGACAGCACTTCTGCCAGTCGCAAGATCATCAACAGCAAAATTCGCGATTTTCCAAAAAAATCGCTCGTAAAAACGGCATCAGCGATCGATCCATCTACCAAATATCCAAAGATAAGCTCAAACCCACCCCATACAAGCTGCAAAAATTCCAGCTCTTCAAGGCTTACAACAAGCGCGTACGACGCAGAGATGTCGGAAAACTCAAGAGTCGCGCCGCTGCTCTTGGATGAGAGAAATGGACGAGAAATAACCCAACGTTGCAACGCGCTGGGCAAGCTCACAGCCACAAGGATGATATCGTTTGGACTGCTAGGTGCCAAGGAGCGTTCGCTTTTTTCTAATACCGTCAAAACCGGATCCGTGATGGCCTGGGGCGAAATTTTGCGCCAGCGGCAAGATATCCCTGGTTTTTGCAGATAAACCGGTCAAAATCAACCAAAAAGTCTACTAGTGACATTCTGAAAGTTGCCGTGCTTCGTGAGCTCAGTAGCATTTTGTCGATGCAAATTTAACGTTCTAACGAGAGTCAGCTCCGTCTCACGACGGAAAAAAGGCTAGGAACCAAGAATGGGACCGATTTTCCCGACTTTGTCCCTTCTGCGAAATGACCGCGTACTCGCTAGATTTGAATCCAATGGGCCTGTACTTTTTTTCTATGGAAGGCCAGCATCTGTACTATGCGCCACGAAAGTATGGAGCCGCTATGTAATCGCAACGCCAAGAACGGGGCCGATTTCGTAAAAAAAAGCTGCGGCGTTTTGCCAAAAATTTTAAGTCACGTTTGTAGCTCTGTATCGGCGCAATGAGCAGCTGCTTTAAAGCTGGCTGAACATGTTGTTAACAGTGCTCCATGTTACTGATATTGATTATTATTTTTGCCGAATTTGGTTTGTTGAAAAAAATATTGCTAAAAATACAAGTTTCCGTTTTTTCTGGCCACCCTGTATACGACGGAAATTTTTTTTTCAAATTGAAAAAACGAGGTGTGGCATCTTATGAAAAAAAGATGAAAAATTTTTTCAAATTGAAATTTGAATACAATTGAATACACCTCGTTTTTTCAGTTTTCAAAATGAGGGGGAGTGTTCAAAAAGGGGGAGGGTTCATTCAAGGGGGAGTGTTAAAAAAAGGGGGGGAGTTCTGAAGAGGGAAAGTTCAAAAAGGGGGAGAGTTGAAAAAGGGGTAGAGTTCAGAAAAGGGGTAGAGTTCTGCCGCAACGGCGGGTCGACGATATCTTGGGTTGCTACGACTTGAGTTAGAGCCTTCAGAAAGCTTCAAAGAAGGTTGGAAAACGTGGCTTCTAGAGCGAATACTTTTTCCGTAGCGCGATGACCCGTCGCTATTTTCTTGACAGACTGATAAAGGATATCAGAAATAAATTTTTGGAAATTTGAGATAGCTGGTGAATGAAACAACCGTAAAGCTCCCAATGGTAGAGTTCATCACAATTTGAAATGTTTAATCAGTAATAAAATAAAGGAGTAACTAAAAAAGCACTATTTTAGAGGATGATTTCTCAATCAAAAATCATGAAAGACTTGTCCTGGAGCGCAGCGAAAACGTCGTTGTCAAACTTGCATTCCATCTTGATACTTACCGTTGTGTCTTCCTAAATTGAAGCATGCCTTTACTGGCAAATTATAATATAAAACTTACAACAAAACTGTCGTCAAACCGAGGAACACAGAGCCAGCTATTGCCAATGAAAATTTCGCAATCCTCTGACAAGTTGTCGACAGCGGCTAGCCACTCCGATTTATGCGATCTTTCCTGTAAATAAGGAGGAGAATTATAAAAGAACAAACAAGTGAAGTACTCCAAGTGCAGCGCTCAGATTTTGATGAAACTTGGCATAGATTTAGAACTTTTTTTTAACAAGAAGACAAATTCCAGCTCGCGCTTGTACAGTGGGGGACCTGATCCAGTCGCAAAAAACGTAACATTTTGCATCCAGGACGCATCAAAAATGTGGCAAAATGCTTCCCTCTCCAAGTGAAAAAACTCGGTTTTGTAGGGCCCTCTCAAAAAGAGCGGGCGCGCTTTTGAAATCTGAGTTTTTTCACTTGGAGAGGGAGGTATTTGCCGCATTTTTTGATACTTCCTGGATGCAAAATGGTACGTTTTTTGCCGCTGGATCAGGTCCACCACTGTAGAAACGACAAAGATTTTCAGACCGAAAGACAGCGAAATTGCAAAATTTTTTAGACAAATTTTATCATTAAAAATTGTATACTTATTTCTACCATGAGGGTAATCTCTTCACAAAAAAAAAATAGATTTTTTTCCGAGCGAAACAGGTAGAGATACGGCCTAAAAGTGCTTTTCTCTCTGACCCCTCTCCACATATTGCGCACTCTCTCGGCCGCAAAGATCGTTCAAAATCCCGGCTGCCTCTGCAAAGCGCGAGCTAAAACTTTCAGGAATTGATGTGTGGCTTATATCTGACGTGTGAGCAAAATTAATAGAAAATCTGAGCGTTGCACTTGGAGCACTTCACCTGTAAGTACAGAGTACTGCGAAAAATCTATCTTACGGTTTCCGGAAAAACTGCCGTGTAACTCGTATCAAAATGTAGATTTTCAAATTCCGCAGCAACTTTTAAAACATTCTGAATTGCCGTGATAAAGTCGGTTTGGGCACTCGAATGCAGCTCATAGCGAGTTGCAAGCACAGTGACATGAAGCTTGAAGCAAATGTCGCAGATTGGAGCGGACTTTTTGAATTCGGCGAATAGATGCTTGTACCATTCGTAGGATTGCGGCGCTGAGAGCGACGAGAGTGTGACGTTGGATTCAAAATATCCCAGTTTTGGGAGAGGCGGGAGGCTGAAAGAAGCAATGTTAGACGTTCATGGCACACTGTTTTTCGAAGTTATTTGAACAGGAGAAGTGCCTTCAGTGCGACGCTCAGATTTTGATGAAATTGGCACAAATTTAGATAAACTTTTTTCTAAGATACATATATACGAGACTTCTAACTCGCGCTTTGCAGAAACGGCCAATATTTTTAGTAGATTTTCAGATCAAAAGTGGGGCAAAAATGCGAAACTTTTTAACGAATTTTGACATGAAAAATGTGATACCTATATCCACCGTAGAGGGTAATGTCTCCACAAAAAATCAATTGTTTCCGCACGAAACGGGCAAAATGTACAGCCAAAAGTGTTTTTATCTCTAGGACCAATCTCTGCGTTTTGTGTACTCTCTCGGCCGTAATGATGGTTTAATATCTTACAATTAGCTGCGCCTGCAAAGCCGATGCCAGAACTTTCAGGAATTGATGTGCCTATGTGCAATGTGTTAGCCTTTTTTTTCTCTAGCTGGCCCATTGCTGCCCCTGCAATGGGCCAGCTAGAGTTTTCAGGGCTTCATACGAGTCGATTGCATGTTCAAAATTCGAAGAAAATCTTAGAGTCGCACATTGAACACTCCCTGCAAGACAAAGACAAACTCACGGTAAATACTGATACAAAATGAAGCCATCGCAATGCGCCAACCGTATGTGCAACGAATGATGATCAAAAAGGTCGCCAAGATCTGGAAATGAATCGATTCGCAAAATGGATTTAAGACAAGTGACGTAAGCAAGTGCTTACACATTGATGCGGTCTGTTTTTCCGAAGCAACAAACCCTCGGAGTGGGGCTGCAATCTCAACGCCACCTTTGAAGATCGTACTCTCTTTGACGTCATTACAACCGTAGTAGTACCCTAAGAGAGATATGAAATTAAAAATAGAGATTAGGAGCCTACCTTGAGGCCGCTGTGAGGCTAAGTCATCTAACAACTTGAATGTTGCCACACTCAATTCCTCGTAGTCGCAATAAACATTGCCAACTCCGTTCTCTAGAAACTTCAAATAGAGAATTTGGTTTGAAGACCGCACCTAGGCGAAGAGGCACCTAATTTTTTTGAAGTGGGTACCCGGGCGAAGAGGAAAAAATGATATGGTAAGGGGAGACCAACACTGCCTTTTGGTAGGGGTGGATCAAAGCGGATTCCTTAAGAATGACAACAACCGAAAAAAGACTCTTTAAAAAAGCCATATCATTGTTCTGCAAGACCTATACAACCTTTCAGAATCGAGTATAAATGTTTTGAAAATACCAGTATGTTGACATCTGACGTCATCAAAAATGCTGCCGAGTTGTCAACTCTTCTTGAAATTTCGCAAAAAAATCTGTAAACACCCGAGTAAATGAAAAAATAATTTTTACTCCTTTCGCACGTCAATCCAGCGCATTTCCTGAACCGTTTCGAAACTTCGTATCGTTTTCATTGATTTAAAAGAGGGACGAAATGTCGCGAAATTATCGACACTCTTTCTCGCTCGAAATAATTCCTTTTTCTCGAAAATGAAGAAGAAAGATGAGAAAATGCTTTTTATCGGATAGTGACATTTCGTTTTGAACGAATCACCAAAAAGCGGCGGGACATTTTTTGTTCTATATATTTTGGATTGACGTGTTTCGGATTTTTCTCTGTTTCGATTTTTTGCCGGATGTTTCTGTCGATATTTCTCGTCTCCCAAGAGCATTCGGCAAAAATAGAAAACGGATTCCTACTAAATTTTGTACGCTCTTTCAGAATTTGGGGGTCTCATGTTGAAAGCTCACGGACAGTTCAGACCATCCCCTCGTTAAGATTCTGCCGAAAGGCCCGACAACCCAGTAACGAGACAAGACGAGAGCTCAAGAGTCAAGTGATTTGTTCAGTGGAAAGGAGGCCTTTTATAGGGAAGCCCCATGTAGGAAAGTACAATCAAATTTAAATAAGTGTTGATCGTTCCGCGTGGGAAAATCCTCGAAACTCGGTCGTTCCGTCTCACAGATTCTTTTATCATACTTAAATATTGAAATTCTTACTTTCGGCCCAATAAAGTAGCCGGATCAGGCCTCGTTCGTTGGCCGGAGTGTAACTATCCATATAGTAGGATACAGAGAAGGGTCCGGCCGTCCTATCCACAATTCGGCCCAGCTGCGCCAATAGGATCGGAGAAATGGTGCAATAATTGCGCATGTCTTTTCCAATTCCATAAAATCCGTCAGGGGTCATGGTAAGAGATGTGCAAGGGCCATAGTAAGTGGAGAGTAGTCGATTCGAAGAAAGCTGGAATTAAACATTGCTTTCGAAACAACGAATACAATGATATCTCTTCTTTATACCCGAAGATTTTAATGCATCGACAAATTTTAGTCCTCAACGCCGCTGCTTACCAGTATTCTCAGAATCCTCTTTGTTAGCGAGACAGCTCTTCTCAGGCCAGCCTCGGGACGAACGAAATGCTCGTAGAACTGGTCCAAAACTTCATCCCGCAACTTTACCATTATACTGCGAAAAATTGATGCTCTAAAATTATTCGCAAACTAACATGGGTAAGGATAGATAAAAACATCCTCATCACGATCGAAAAAACTTGATATTTGAGATACATAACTTATTGATAGTCGCAAATTCTCAATGCAGAACAGTAATTCGTCGCTCATTTGGCTCAAATGTCAAGACCTAGGACTAGATCGACGTATTCAAGTGTTTTATGGCTTCTTTCGACCATTCGCCCACTTTGTATCGATTGAATCAAACGAAATGCCGCAAAACAATCTTTCGTGGCGTTTGTGGTGGCTTAAAATTCAAAACAATTGGACACGCTTTCTGCAAGTTATGACAATATTATAATTAAATATAGGGTCACAAAGCCACATCCGGAAGTTTGCTGGCATCAATAACATTTGAAAAGATGGAGCAATTTTTAAATTTTATCCCCATTGCCCAAAGTCACAAACAAAAAAGCTTTTCAGGGGTGCGACTGGCTCACCCTGCGAACAACGCGATAGATAAGTAATTTCATAAAATCTGTCAGCTCTTTCCCTTCAAAATATTGGACAAAATTTGCATTAGGCACAAGTTTTTCTCATTGACGTTTGCACTGTGCGAAAAAAGTCAGGGTGCGAGCGACAGCCCAAAAAAGCCTATTGCACGGTGCAAAAAGCAAGAAATTGCACAGTGCAAAGAGAATTTTAATTTCGCACAGTGCATGTCGCCGATTTCAGTCAGGCGACTTTCCGAAAGGACTCGAGCTGAAATGAACAAAAAAAAACTTTTTTAAAATTTTTGTTCAAAAAATGCAAGGAAACAGCAAATAAAAATATTTTTTTCCAAAGAAACTAAAAGCCACGGAAATATTGGAAAAAGCGGAATGTCACGGGAATATTGGAAACAAAGATGGGAGTTTCGCGATAGAAATACCGGCAGAAAATCGATTGCTTTTTTCAATTCTTCCATTTTTTATGCGGCGATTCAATCAATTAATAACCGGACTATGTCATCAATCCGACATTTTAAATTGCTTTTTATATATTTTTTAAAAATTACTTATTCACAAAAGCCAACTGAACGCATTGTTTATCTCATCAGTAATAATTTTTAAGGCTTTTTACTCATTCCAATCACTGATATCGTTGATGAATTTCCGGAGAACATTAGCCATCTGCTTTGGTTTGCCCAAAGCCGTTGGATGGCCAGCTCCCGCGATTGTTGTAAAGATCAGGTTGTTTGGGTAGACCGTCCTTGTGCCGCCGTAATTCCCATCGACAAACCAATGATCGCTCTGTCCCACTCCACCAATCTTTCGAGTAAACAGGTCTCCATCGATAAATGGGCAAATGGTGTCTGGAAATTTTTAAGTGGTATTAGGTATAGGTCCCTGGACCTACCCAGATTTCCATAGAAATACAAAACCTTGATTTTTTTGTCCAAAATTCCACGAACAATTGGTTCCATATCATTAAATTGATTGTAGTTCAAACCCCTAAATTTCAGTAGTCCAAAGTCATTCGTAAGTCACTCACTTGCAATATGTCCATGCTTGATCATCAAAATGCAACGCCTTCTTCACTTCCGGCTGGTTGAAGTAGTGGCTCATTCCGCTCCCGGCGCAGGCCGTATCGCTTCCGCATTTTTGACTAATATCGTATGCGTTAACACCGGGGTCCATCACGAAATCAGCATCTGCAATCTCATCTCCGCAATAGTTTTCAAAGCCAGTCGGGCAATATTTCTTCATCCATTCGCCAAATTGCAACGAACTTCTGAGCCCATGGAAAGCGTAAATCGGGAGTGAGAATTTAAGCTGCCACTTCTTCTTTGTTACGGCATTACCCATAGCCAAACCCTAAACAGATTGTTTTTTTGCATGTTTAACTGCAAGGAACATTGCTGTAATAATACGATTTACTTTCAACTTCAATGCCAAGGAATCTCCAGCTTCAAGTACCTTCTCCGCGAGTGTGGGAACATAAGCTCCGGCATAACTAAAGCCGGAAATATAGAAATCTCTCCCTTTGAAGTTTGGATGAACTTCAAGGAACGCCTTGAGGAAGGCTAGGTTGTCAATTGCCGTCTGAAAAACGCGAAATTTGTGATTGATGCTCTAGTATGACTGACTTACAGTATTATCATCATTTACATAGTCCGGATTGTCAGTAACGGAAAATCCAACGCCTGCGGGACTTTCCAAATAGAGAACATTGGCAAACTATAAGGAAAAGGGCTAGGAAAAACGCAGCTGACTTACTGTGTTGTAAGCGTGCGGATTCTCTTTCAAGACGAGTTCAACATGATCTCCAGGATCTAGTCGGAATGGTCCGTTCTCAATGACTGTTCCAAAGAATGACGAACAACCTGGACCGCCATTTAACCTGGAAAAATATACTGTCAGAAGGGGTGGTCAACAAGAAGGCCTTATCGTGTCATCCTTACCACAAGAGCAGTGGATCTTTCTCGGTGTCATTTTGCGATTCAACAAGCCTAAAGTTAAACAAACTTGTATTATCTCTGTTCCTTGTAAAGCATTCCTACCAATACGACAATTTCCGTGTTGTAGACACATTTAGATACCCGGCATATTGCTTGAATTTCGGAGTAACAGTCAGCCCGGGCAACGACTTAATCTCGTGGTCATCCTTTATGTCACAATGCACAAAAGCTGTCGCGATCGCAAGTAAACACAATAATATCATGATCTGGTTTGATTTTTACCAAGGAACAACTTGTATTTAAAGCAGCCCATTGCTAATTAATTTCGTATTGTTTCGTACACAATCATATTGGCCTCTGATTCATGGCCAACGGCATGAATGCGAAGGAATTGAAAATACCTTTTCAATCGTTCGGTTTCATGGAGCGCTCAGACCCTTCGCTAAACATCCTCTCACATATGCATACAAGAAAAATATGACGAACGAAAAGGTGTATTGATGTAAGAACCCGTGGCTTATTACAGTTGCTGCTGTGTTATCTCGTGGTATGAGTCCAAAATGAACCCTAAGGTTCAACAGAGTGCTTGCCTCATTGTCAGCAAACAGCATGACGATCGGACTGATGTCCAATCCACGCAAATTATCTACACGGTGTAGCTTTAGAATTTTATTTACCCGACGTTCAATTCACAGTACATATGACACAATAATTGTCTTAAAACTGACGACCTCTCTCTCCAAAATCTTTCGAGATCTGCTGGTCCAAAAATGATGACAAAACAAACTAGATTTAAAAAGGGTGCGATAAAACAATGGGAAAGACTTGGCCCGGCGACAGATTTGGCTCGCCTCTTTCTCGGCCTCACAAATATGTATGATAGAAAAACTAATAAATTGCTAATGAGTTACAATATTCGATCCGACCGATTCATTGCCGTCGTGGGATCGAAGAATTGAATACATACTTCTCATTATTAAAATTCACCGTTACGGTAGTGAATAGAGTTTTGTAAACGTCTCGAGAAGCCGCGCGATCTTCTTTGTGATAGAAAGTGTGAGCAAGGCCCCTGCACTGGCAAGTGGAGGGAGTTCATGTAACTTCTTCTTGCACGAATTCCTGGATATATTTGAGAGAAGTGTGTTCTTCAGATCTAAACCCCAGTGGAATATAGATTTTTGTTTCATTTAGCGTGCATTTGACCAGCGCCGCAAGCTATTACTTATCCTGATCGTTTATTCACAATTTTTAATCCAATACAACAATTTTTTCTCCATTCAACGCTTCAGTCACAGAGCCATCAAAAACAAATTGTACTGACATAGTCTCTGGCCATTCCATTTGCTGAAATCAAACCCAATTTTTAAATCAAAATCAGTCGGAAGTAAATTTTTCTTACCTTTGGTCCATTGTCAAACGACTCCCATCCACGTCTGCACTCGCGTAGCTCACTGTCTGGCACGTATGTTGACAAAAAGTAATTAATGGCTTCGGAATATTTTCGTGCCTAAAATTAAGTGTCTTATTGCCAGAAATTTGTTGCCATCGACATAAGAGTAATCGAGAAGATTAGAGTCAAAGCTCTGTACAACGAATTGAATTATATGTAATTAACAATCTTCAAGGGCCCCAAGTCATTTTTCGGCTAACAGGGGAAGTACTCCAAGTGCGACGCTCAGATTTTTTTATCAGTCTGTCGGAAAAATAACGGCGGATCGTCGCGCCTCGGAATCGTTCATCATCGCTTTGCTGGGGATTTGGTGCGCGACAGCGGCGAGGCGAGAAATTTTGCTGCGACGATCCGCCGTTATTTTTCCGACAGACTGATAAAATTTTGCACACACGTCGGGTATGGACTAAATATCAATTCCTGAAAGTTTTAGCTCGGGCGCCGCCGAGATATCGAACGATTTTTGCCGCCGAGAGAGCACGCTAAACGTGGAGAGCGGTCAGAGAGAAAAACGATTTTTGGCCATAACTTTGGCAGTTTCGTGCGGAAAATTTTGATTTTTTGTAGAAACATTATCCTCTACGGTAGAAATAGGCATGAAAATTTTCGTGCCGAAATTCGGCAAAAAAGTCCTAAATTTTCGCCGACTTTCGATCTAAAAATCTCGGTTGTTTCTGCAAAGCGCGAGCTAGGATTCTCACATATATCTTAGAAAAAATTATTCTAAATTTGTGCCAAGTTTCATCAAAATCTGGACGTCGCACTTGGAGTACTCCCCTGTAAAATAAACATCCGTTCAATGGAACTTTTGTATAAGAAACAAGAATTTCAGTTGCTTTATATTTTACCGAGGTTTGGCTAAAATTTTTACTCACCTCTTCAGGCAAAACAATTTGAATTCTGGCGTCGATTAGAAGCCTCGGGAACTCCACATGCAGTCTTTTCATATTGCCCGCCACCACAAAAATTTGATGTAATACGTCGAAAAGGGATTTGTAAACTGCAACGAGAATGGTCGCGTTCAATTCAAAGACGATGTTGCAAATGGGAGCAGCTTGTAAAATACCACGGACAAGTTCGCGGTACAAACCATAAGAATTGCCGAAACAGATGGTGTTAAAGGGGATGTTGCACCTCAAATACTGTAGTTCGCGCATGGGGGGAAGCCTGAAATAATTTTTAAAAAAATATTGATTTTCACTGGAAAAAACGAAAAAACTTAAAAAATTGCACTGTGCAAAATTTTTTCTGCTATACTCCGCGCATTTAATTTGGATCAACCTGGATCTCAAAAACTAAGCAAGGCCTGGACTTGATTCTTTTCGCGTAATAATCTATAGTCATAAAGAACATGTTTGAGCAACAAACAATCACATTTCAGGTAAGTGTAAAATTTTAAATTGCAATTTAAGATTTCGGGTGCGCAGAAAATTTGGATCAACCTTGCAAAAAATTATTTTGCTCGCTGAGGTGGTCGGTTTTAATGTTGTAAATGGTGAATACGGACACTACGGAGAAATAGTATTCTGAGGGTATCAATTTTGTGCAATATTTCTTATGACATGGCCCATTAGGGAGATACCAAGGAATACGGTAAGAAAACTCAAACAAAGCCCAAAAACTGATAATTGTAACTCCTCAAATTTCTTGCAAAGTGTACAAATATTTACTTATAGGCCATGCAAAGTATTTTAGTAAGGCATCCAGTGGAGTTCACGGCATCTACGACTTCTACGAGACATAAATCAGAATTTTTCTGAAAAAAGTTTCTAACGGAAAGTTTACGGTACTTTTTAAAAATTTTCTAGTGCCTGTTTTGAGGGTTCAGCATATACAGGACATGATGTGGTAGCTTTTGATTTAATTAGTTCATACGATTCGTTGGTATCAATTCCGTAGGGCACAAAACTTTAGCTTCCGCGAAAATTCAGAATATGGAAGACTCGTTGAGAAGCTACAGTGCATCCGAGAATTTCATCTTTTGTTTGCTTATTAAATATGCACCTTGTAGACTGCTATAAAAGCAAATACAACGGTGGTTTTAGTTCAGGGAGGGAATTTCCAACCGAACGCGTGTGATGCACGGTGTAGTTTTTGATCCCCGCTCCATCAGGCGACTTCAAACGGTAAAAATTGACAAATCTTTTTACGTAGAAATTTCAGCAATGTTGTTGTCTTTTTGTCGGCGCATCGAACAACCCATCAGAAAATTTTTAAAAAGTACCGTAAACTTTCCGTTAGAAACTTTTTTCAGAAAAATTCTGATTTATGTCTCGTAGAAGTCGTAGATGCCGTGAACTCCACTGGATGCCTTACTAAAATACTTTGCATGGCCTATAAGTAAATATTTGTACACTTTGCAAGAAATTTGAGGAGTTACAATTATCAGTTTTTGGGCTTTGTTTGAGTTTTCTTACCGTATTCCTTGGTATCTCCCTAATGGGCCATGTCATAAGAAATATTGCACAAAATTGATACCCTCAGAATATTATTTCTCCGTAGTGTCCGTATTCACCATTTACAACATTAAAACCGACCACCTCAGCGAGCAAAATAATTTTTTGCAAGGTTGATCCAAATTTTCTGCGCACCCGAAATCTTAAATTGCAATTTAAAATTTTACACTTACCTGAAATGTGATTGTTTGTTGCTCAAACATGTTCTTTATGACTATAGATTATTACGCGAAAAGAATCAAGTCCAGGCCTTGCTTAGTTTTTGAGATCCAGGTTGATCCAAATTAAATGCGCGGAGTGTATGCACTGTGCGCAAAATAAAAATCTGTTGCACTGTGCAGTTGAACCAAAAAATTCTTACGGCAAGTACTGGTGCATAACAAATCCATCGCAATCGATGAAAGTTAAATGCGTTGCAGGGATTCGTAGGATATCTGTGAGGTCTGGAAAAAATAACAAAATAAAAATTTGTTACAAGAATTGAAAAACAAAGCTTACAGGGGAAGTACCCCAAGTGCGACGCTCAGATTTTCTTTACATTTTACACACACGTCGGGTATGGACGAAATATCAATTCCTGAAAGTTTTAGCTCGCGCTTTCCGGGAGCCACCGAGATATTGAACGATCTTTGCCGCCGAGAGAGTACGCTAAACGTGGAGAGCGGTCAGAGAGAAAAACGCTTTTTGACCATAACCTTGGCAGTGTTGTGCGGAAAATTTTGACATTTTGTCGAAACATTATCCTTTACGGTAGCAATAGGCATGAAACTTTTCGTGCCGAAATTCGGCAAAAAATCGTAAATTTTTGCCGACCTTCGATCTAAAAATCTCGGTTGTCTCTGCAAAGCGCGAGCTAGGATTCTCGCATATATCTTACAAAAAATTATTCTAAATTTGTGCCAAGTTTCATCAAAAACCGAGCGCCGCACTTGGAGTACTTCCCCTGTTAGTTATAGGCTATAATATCCTTACAAGGCTTTGTTGTTAACCGTTTTTTCTCGGAAAATTGCCGCAACTCTGGAGAAACATCTCTTCCACCGTGTACATGGAGACGTCTGGAAGTTATAGTTGCGCTTTTTAATTCATCCGGACCAACTCCATGAAAGAAGCGGAACTCTTGGAAATACCGTTCCGGGTAAACATCGGGCAGCTTGAGGTCCACCAAAACTTGGTTCAAGACTCTTGGAACGGAATATTGATCGAGCGCAAAGCCAAGGTTGTGCTCTGAAGAGATTGAGAGCAGAATAAATGTCAGGTCTGCACTGTGCAGACGGCGGAGGCAAAATCAACAAAATTGCATTGTGCAAAAGCACTTTTCGGGTTCATGCACAGTGCAGAGTCGCAGAAAATCCCCAGGACTTTTTTCCACGATTAGTATTAGCGTTTTCACAAAGTGTCTGGACATTTTTTCGTTTTCGCACATTTTTGCCGCCCACTTTTGAGTTTCGTCCAAACGAAGTGTCACAACTGACAAAAGCAATAAAATAATTTCGAGAAAAATATTTTTCCATCGAAAAACCACACAAAAAATTCTGTTGTGACGTTTCGTGTGAATTTGTTCGATACTGGGTGTGCGAAGTGCCGAAACGAGGAGGGAGACTCCGTGGGCTGCCGTGCGTCGCAGCGATATAAGGCGCGTGATTTTAGAATTCGCGCCGAACTTTCGAAAAATTTTGCCGAATCCTGACTGGGAGCCTCCAACATTAATCTAGTGGATTCCAGACTAGAAATGGGGAGAAAAAACGAATAGAGCGAGAGAAACGCGCGCTATTTCGTGCTCTCTCTGCCTCTCTGCGCCCTCCCTCCGTTCGCGTTCTCTCGCCCTCTCTCTCCGTTTTTTGCGTTCTCTCGCTCTGTCTCTCGAAAAAGAGCTCTCCCAGTCAGGATTCGGCAAAATTTTTCGAAATTTCGGCGCGAATTACTAAAACACGCGCCTTATATTTCTAAAGGCGAGTGCACGGTGCAAGAGCTCGCCAATTTTTGTGCACGATGCGGAACCCGACAAATTTCCAGGCACTTTGTGAAAATGCTAACAGTCTACTTACTTTTTCCCCAGAACAGTAGTTTCGTCAATTTTGCTAGTTGGGGCGCAGTCGTCGGAGGAAGACAAATTGAAAGTCCTCTAATCTCCTCTCTCATTGCAACTTTGGCCAAGCGCGCCAAACGAAGCGGATCCTCCGCGAAATACGTGCGACCGTATACGTTTAGTCGAAAAGTCTCGTCACCAACGTCAATGTTGTTCGATGAAGGTGAAAAGAAAGTGGTGAGGAAACGGTTAGAAATTAGCTGAAAAAATTGCGTTGAGATTTTGCTAGAGCCTACCAAGACCCGAACGATATCTTCCGCTAGCCAGATTTGCCACTCTTCGTCCAGCTCATGCGGTAGACAAACGGAATAGTGAAAGTAATCGAGAGCACCGTCTCTCAAACATGTCATTCTTCTAAAAAACAATTACAATCTATGCAAAACGAATCGCAACGGACCAAAAAAAAAAGAAAAAAAATATTTTAGTCTGTCGGGAAAATAATGCGCACAATGTCGCTCCCAATCGTGTCACTAAAGTGAAAAGCAATTCGGTTTTGCCGCGATACAATTCATTCTCTCGACGGCGTTTCGATTTTCGATGCGACAGGGTGCTCATTATTTTCCCGACAGACTGATAGAAAGCTTTGATTGTAATTCATTATGTTCTGAAATCGATTCTTGCAACTTTTGAAATGATTCATTATACCAGTCTGTCGGGAAAATAATGTCAATTTGTCGCGCTTTGAAATCGCCCATCGCTTTGTGAAGGCGTGCTACGGATCGTAAATTTGGATCGTGACTTCGGCAAGGTAAGACGTGTTACTGCGACAAATCCACATTATTTTTCCGACAGGTGGTTTCAACAAGCTTACCCACCAGTTGATTATAAAAATATGTAACAACACAGTAGGAATACTGTTTATACCAATCTGAAGATAGAAACATAACTTTATTAACAAAAACGACACTATTGTAGAACACGTATACTACAGTAGATTTCTCGGGGAAGAAAAGAAATTTCACTCCAAAACCCGTAAATTCCGGCCATTCAGTTCGTCCAAGACAGTGTTTCTAAAGTAGTATTCGAGTTCGAATTGTAACCCGGTGTTGGGCTGAAAAATACTTGAATAAATATACATCAAAGAAGCGAACAAGAATAACAAACTAATCATGCAGCAGATTTACTTACGCCATTGAAAGCAGAAAGGTCCGGCTTGTAAGTCCAACAATTCTTTTCGAAGCCGATATCACATGATGGAGTGAGTGGTTCGACAACATGCAGCCATTCCTCGCGATGAGATTGTGCCTAAAACTATATACAACTGTCGGGAAAATTTGTATTTTTTGTGAATCCGAAAATCTTACGCTCTCCGTCAAGCTGACATCCACCGTAAATTCGAAGCGGACATTTTTAAATCTCGTTGCCAGCTGAATAATATTTTTCAGGGCCGTCGCGAGCTGTTGGAGCACCCCCGCGTGCGCTTCGTAACTGGCTGCTAGCACCTTTAAACTGCTACTGATGAAATGTAGCTGGCAGTTCGGAGCCTGCAGTTCGAATTCGGCTAAAAGATCGTGGTAGTATTGGAAGGAGAATGCCGAGCCAATCGCGCCGAGCAGCAGTGTTGAGGTAATGCGGCGTAGATTTGGCATCTGGGGAAAGCTGAAACTGGAGGTTTACAGATAGTTGACCTATGGAAATAAAAAGATAGATCAGGTCCTAAGATATGTAGCTTTTGAGCTATACGATTGTATTAGTCAAAAGACCTGTAGCGGCCAAGGTATTCACGTCATTTTGTAACGCCATTTTCCTCGCCACTTGAGACTTACGGCGAATAGTCACACAGCGCAAACCCATCAATGTTGTCCAAAATCAGCTTCGTTAATTGTGGGTGACCAAACAGTCCCCACAGGTCTAAAAATAAAAAATGTATACAATTTTGGCTTACAAGCCTTACCAATAGCAGAACACAAACTTACACGCCTTTTTATACCGTCTTCGTCTGATTCCCGCCGGCTTTAAAACTGAACCATGTAAAACGACGGTGTTTTCATCCTTCGCAAACTTGCTCAGGACTGTATCCAGACCTGGTACATAGTCGTAGAAGAGGGTGCCACCAAAACTAGCCGATCCTTTGATTTCATAATCAAGACTGTGCATCACTTGAGATAAAAGTCTGGATTGTCGTTCCGAGTCGAGCAGAAAATTGAGTGATTTCCCTAAAAGTTTTGGAAAAAAATCTCAAAAATTTAAATAAAAATTTTTATTGAACAATACCTTGCTAAAGGGCTACTCAAAAATTCAAAACAAAACTTGCGTTTTGCCCAGAACATAAATTTCAGAATCGGCCTTTCGTCTTCAGCTTCCCTCAGGATGATTCGAAAACCGCTGCTTTCCTCACGATGCAACAAAGACAATGTCGCCAAGACAATTGGATTTGGATGGAAATAGTGAACGGACCCTTCTTTAATGTAGAATTCACTAACACCGAGGAGAATATCCCGAGATTTTAGGTATAGTGTACTGTGGATGCGGCTGGATGAGAGCTGAAAGAAGGAATGCCAAGTTTCATTAAGACGACTTCCACTCACCAGAAATCGAATATCCTTATCAGTCAGTTGGGTCACAATTACATCATCAATCTCGTCCAGTGGGCCCAAATAATATTGGTAAAATCGTAATGGCTCAGCTCGAAGAACTTTTTCCAACATCCTGCACACAATGAAATAAAGTCGTACCTTGTGTGCATACGATAAAATATAAATGTTAAAACATAAAGCCGCGTTAACTATTATAGAAACAGAAGAAGCAAGAAATAAGCACTGCACGGCAACCCGAAATAGAACAAAAATGTCTCCCGCCCACTTTTGAGTTTCGTCCAAACGAAGTGTCACAATTGACAAAAGGAACAAAATGATTTCGAGAAAAATGTTTTTCCACCGGAAAACCGCAAGAAAATTCTATTGTGACATTTCGTGTGAATTATATCGATCATGGGCGTGCGAAGTACAGAAACGAGGCAGGAGACTCCCTGGGTTGCCGTGCACTGTGTTAGTAAATCATATATGTTTTAGACAGTCCTCGTTATGAGAAATTTTTATTCAAATCAAAATAAAACAGATTGTGCAGCAAATTATATAACAGAGGTGTGGCAGCACGCACAAAACACGATTCATTTTTCCACTGCAAATGCAAACACAACAAAAATTATTATTATTAAATACTTACTCCGACTTTCGCTCAAGTCCGGCTGGTAGTCGATTTTCCAGAGCCGGCTGGAAGTACTAGCCATGACCATGCCATAATAGAGCTATTGGAATGGTCGGACTGTCACAAAGCCAAATATAATGAGGTCTACCAAACAGGTTACCAATGGATAACATCGGCCTATTTTTCTCTTGAAAAACCCGTATTCGAACGCTCAAAAAATAACAAAAGCTTGTCCTAAATCTCAAAAGAATCGCTTAAAGCCCCAAAATTCCTCTAAAATTTGCAAAACTACGGATTTTGGAGCAAAAGAAAGGGCGAAAAATAAATTTTTAGCTCTTTTTTCCGAATCGAAAAAGATAACTGACCCACCCAACGTTGTTTACGGCTGTTTACGTTTGATTTGAAGGAAAAAACAAGAGTTGTGGCAACTCAAAAAACTTATTTTTTAGAACAGTATAAATATATAGCAATGCAGTAGGATAGTAAAACAACTTTATTATCAAAAACAAATGAAACCCTGCGATTATGACTCATCGTTTTGAATAATTTGCCAATATCAAGGGCTATAAGTTTTACATGGAAGCCGGAGCCGAAATTTCGGCCGTGGCAATCTCTGCAGCGAAACCTTCAAGATTACTTAAAAGAAGGCAACTCCCTACAGCTCATCTAAACCTCTTCGCAAGCGAGTGTAACCCTTCAAGTACAAAAACTTAGTTCAAACAGCAGGTCGTAATCGAGGGTGATCCGATTATAGGAGCGCGCGCGTAATATGTAATAGAATACAATGCGATATAGAACAAGAAATTTCACTGGTCGTGAATCCGCAAGACTTGACCTCCCAGCTCCCAAGAGACATCTCTAAAGTAGTATTCGAGCTCGAGTCGTAATCCGGTATCCTCCTAAAAAATGCTGAATTCTTCGCAGAACCAAAAAAATAAACAAAAATTGTGACGATGACTTACGCCATTAAAAACCGAAACGTCCGCCAAAAGGTACTTCCAACAGTTTTTCTCAAACTTAATTTCACGCAATGGAGTCAGCTGTTCGACAAAATGTTGCCATACATCGCGATGCGATTGCGCCTAAAATTGGTACACTGCGTACGGGAAATGCTGGAGATTTTATGTTCGACACGTCAGGCCGCATGTCAATTGCTGAAAATTTTGGCTTGCGCTTTGCAAAGGAAGACGAGGTATTCAACGATCTTTATGATTGAGCCCGAACTCTCCCCCTGTTTCTGACTCTCACATGTAATACGATGAAAAAACTTTAAATTGAAAAAATAAGGTGCGACATGTTATACGATGAAATTTTATTTCAAATTGAAAAAGTAAAGTGTGACATTTTATATGATGAATAATTTTTTCAAATTGAAAAAATTAGATGTGACATGTTATACGACAAAAAATTTTTAATTCAGAGTGCGGGCTTTTTTGGTAAATATCGAAAAAAGGGGGAGTTCGGATTGGGGGAGTGTCGTCTGCAGCGGAGCTTTGCAAACCAAAAAGTCAAAAAAAAACAGACTTTGGCCGTAGTTCTGCCAATGCCAGAAAACACTTACAGTCTCCGGCAAGTATACATGTACTACATGATTGAAATATACATTTTTAAACCTTGACGCCAACTCAATCGTGTTCTTCATTGCCGTCGCTAATTGCTGAAGCACGCCGAGATGCACATCATAACTGGCTGCTGTCACGTCTATTCGCCGATCGAATCTTAGACGGCAGAGCGGAGCCTTCAGTTCGAAGTCGGCTAAAAGGTCGTGGTAGTATGGGAAGGCAAATGTCGATTCAATTGATCCAAAAGGCATTCTTGCATAAATTCGTTGTAAGTTCGGCATCGGGGGAAATCTGAAACCGAAAGCTTATAAGCGATAAAACCCCGAAAAAAGTCTACGCCATTTGTGGAAATACTCGTAGGAAAAACGCTTACGGTAAATACTGACATAAGACAAAACCGTCACAGTTGACCAAAGTAAGCGCCGTCATTTTTGGATGACCAAATAAGCCGTGTAAATCTATAATACAACGGTATCAAAATTATTCGTTGCAGGCAAACTCTCCCCCAATCCGAGCTATCCACCTTTTTTGATTTTCACCAAAAAAATCCTAACTCACCCTTTTCGTGAACACCCCCATTTCAAAAATAAAAAAATAGGTAGGACTGTTATACGACGATGTTATACTTTTTTCGATTTATAAAAAAATTTTCATCGTATAACATGTCACGCCTTATTTTTTCAATTTGAATCTTTTTTGTCGTATAACATGTCACTCCCTACTTTTTTCAATTTTCAAAACAAGTGAGTGTATTCGGAAGAGGAGAGTTCGGGCTCAACCAAATTACATATTAGCTTCACTATACAAATTCCAGCTAATAACATAGACTTACACACTTTTCTACAAGGATGCTTGCCTTCTGTTGGTTTAAAGTATATGAAGACGGTGATTTGGTCTTCCGCGGACTTGTTGAGGACTTCATTTAGATCTTGTACGTAGTGAAAATAGTTGATGTCACCAAACCTGTCAAAGTATTCGTATTCGTAACCGAGGTCGTCCATCACTTGAGATAAAACCTTGTCTTGCAATTCCGAATGCAGTAGAAAGTTGAATGAATTCCCTGAAAATTTTGGATAGAATTCCCCAAAAGTACGAAAATTACAAGGAAACTTGCGTTTCGCCCAATACATAAATTTCAGGATCATCCGTACGTCTCCACCTTCCTGCATTGCGTCGTTTCTGACGATTCGAAAACAGGGATCCTTCCCAAGATGCAACAAGGATAAGGTCGCCAAGATGATTGGATTTTGATGGAAGTAGTTAATGTCGTCTTGTCCAACCGAAAATCCGTCGTCCCATGCGTAAATACTTTGAGATGTGACGTATAGTGTGTTGTGGATCCGGCGGGAGGAAAGCTGAAAAGAAAAAAAAAAGGTTTGATACTAGGCCTTCCGGGAAATCGCCGGACTGAAATCGGCGACAAGCACTGTGCTAAAACAAAAGTTTTACTGACTGTTGCGTCCAGAAACTTGACCTTCCAACGAGTATGTTCTAGTTAATTGCAAATTGTTGCATGAAGGGCTCGGCTGTAATTGTACTCACCAAAAATCTAGCAATCTCCTCAGTCACTTGGATCTCATCGGGCTCCTCTCTAGGTTCCAGTTCATTCAAATAGTATTGGTAAAACTGTAACGGCCCATTTCGAAGAACTTTTTCCATCATTCTGAAAACAAGAAAAGGCAGTCCTTGCGCAATGTAAATACAGCAATCATCATTTTAACTGCAAGGGTAAGATAACTAGAAACAAAAAATGAGCATTGTGTTCGTCAACAAGAGACATTTCAGCAAAGGAAAAGGCGGAAATAAATTTTTTTACCCTCGTTTTTCCGAACCAAAAAATGTTTTATATTCTGGCTGACCAATTCCACGTGTTTTACTGTTTACGTTTTTAAAAGCAAAACGAGGTGAAAAATGAAATTTTGCAACTATATGTATACAGCTACGCCTTCTGATCGCTCCAGTGCAACCTCTTCACAGCAACCTCCCTTGCAATTTCAGGGCCCCAAAGCCATTTTTCGGCTAAAATACGAAACTTTTCAACAACAAATCTTTGCAATTTTTTAGCAAGGTTTTACTGAATTTTTTTCTGAACCCTTCCGGCAAAACGATTCGAATTCTGGCATCGCTTCGAAAAGTCGGGAACTCCACATGCAGTCTTTTCATATTGCCTATCGCCACAAAAATTTGTCTTAATACGGCGAAAAGGAATTCGTAATCTGCAGCGACAATGGTTGCGTTAATTCAAAGTCGATGTTGCAATTGGGAGCAGCCTGTAAAATACCAGCGACAAGTTCGCGGTACAAACCATGAGAATTGCCGAAACAGACGGTGTTAAAGGTGGTATTGCAAATATATAACAACGCAGTAAGAATACCGTTTCATCAAATATCGATGGTAAAATAACTTTATTAACAAAAACGAGATCATTGTGGAAACACGTATACAGTAGAATTCTCTTCAAAGAAAAGATATTTCACTCAAAAACCCGTAAATTCTGGCCATTCAGATCGTCAAAGACATCATTTGAAAAGTTGTATTGCCAGTCGACTCGTAAACCGGTATGCTCCTAAAAAATGTCAAGTTTATGAAATCCAAACAAAAATAAAAAACGCGTAATGATGACTTACACCATCAAAATTAGGATAGTCGGGCTTGTACATCCAACAATCTTGCCTGAAGCTGATATCACACAGTGGAGTCAGCTCATCGACAAGATTCAGCCATTCGCGACGATGAAATTGTGCCTGAAACAAGATTATCATGGCCAAATGGGATGAGTTTTACTATCCTTCCGGAAAGTTGTCGGAATGACTTGCACGAGGGGGGACTAAGGTAATTTTTGTCGCATTTTATGATAATAATATCATAGTCAAAAAAACCGAGGCAACCAGTCCAAGCCAGCTATTTCTTAATCAGGAAATCTGTGAAACTTTCGCGCATTTTTGCGCTGAAAACTTAGTTGTTTCCGCATAGCGGAAGCAAAGAATCTCAGTAGTGTTTCGGAAATGCGATCTATCAGTCTCTCGGGAAAATAATGAGCACTCTGTCGCTGCCCCGATGGCGTCGCTAAAATGAAAAGCAATTTGATTTTGCCGCGACACAATTCATTTTTGGCGATGCGATTTTCGACAGAGGACTCACTACTTTCCGGAAGTTTCCGTATAAAAATCTCTCAAATCAAAAAACTTACAGTCTCCGGCAATCTGATAATCACACTAAGTTCGAAACAGACATTTTCGAACCTCGTCCTCAACCAAACCATGTTCTTCTGCGCCATTGCTAACTGTTCAAGCACGCCGGCATGCGCCTCATAACTGACTGCTACAACTTTCAAACCATGATTAACCAAGTGTAGGTGACATTTCGGAGCCTTCTTTTCAAAGTCGGTTAAAAGGTTGAAGTAGTATTCGTAAGAAAATATCGATCCAATTGATCCAAGAGGCATCGTTGCATAAATTCGACGTAAATTCGGCATCAGGGGAAATCTGAAAGCTTGCGAGGGGTCAGTTGACAAGGTCGCATTGGGAGAAGTTTTTGAAAGAAATCTTGGGGCACCCCTTATAGAGATTGATGGACCGCGACGATTGGAGAAATAAAATCATTTTTTTTGCTTTTGTTTGGCGAGCCATAACCATACTTCATTAGCCTATCCTATAAAACTTCCTTTATATAGTCTCTTTAGACCTGACATACCCTCACTTGATCCATCCAACTTCTTAAACATCTGTTTGATGCCGTTTTATAAAAATTGAAAATTTCATCCTGCCTAGGTTAAATTGTGGTTTTAGTTAGCCATGAAAGCGAAAAAATTACTTTCCCCAATTGAAGACGTTCCAGAAAAAGCAAAATCGACCAAGCCCTGACACATATATGTAGTTTATGACCTAGCTAGGTATTTCTCGAAGTATTTCCTTAAAAATTACACCTACATCAATCATGCAAACGCTGTGTATCTTTGTCTTTCAGGGCTAAAACTTTCGGAATTGGTATGTGGCATACGCCTGACGTGTGTGCAAAGTTTAAAGAATATCACAGCGTCGCACTTGTGGCCTAGTAAGCTAATAACGCCCACTTTGCGCCCCATGTAGGTCTCTTACAACATGCGATCTGTAGAAAAAGCACTTACGGTAAGTAGTCGCACAGCGTAAATCCATTACAATTTTCTAAAATTAACTCCGTCAGTTTTGGGTGGCCTAGCAAGCCATGTAAATCTAAAAAGCGTAGTAGTTTGTATCGCAAATAATTGAATGTGAATATATTTATATGTAAACTTACACACGTTCCTACACGGTTGTCTCCTCCAGCCGTCTTCTTCCTCATGTGTGTGGCTAAAATCCGCACCATATATGAGGACGGCGTTCCGATTCCTCGTTGACTTGCTCAGAACTTTATGCAGATCTTGTACGTAGTGATAATAGATGACGTCATTAAAATTACCAAAGTTTTCGTATCGATAGCCGAGATCGTCCATCACTTGAGATAAAAGTTTGGAGCGTAATTGCGCGTCCAGAAAAAAATTGGATGAGTTTCCTGAAAAAACGCGCACCAATTTAACAGAATTTTTCAAAATGACATCAAATTGAATTCAAATTGCGGTCATTTTGGCAAACAGGCGAGGTACATCAAGTGCGACGCTCAGATTTTGATGAAACTTGATACAAATTTAGACAAATTTTTTCGGAAAAAATGTGAGACTTTTGAAGTTTTGGCATAAAACGTCTCATACTTTTTTTACCATAGAGGGTAATTATAATACAAAAAAACTTACGCTTTGCCCAAAACATGAATTTCAGCATTATCCTATCGAGCTGGTTTCCTCCATCAACATTCAGGATCATTCGAAAGCAGCGATCTTTCTTCTCATGATGCAACAGAGACAATGTTGCCAAGACAATTGGATTTTGATGGTAATACTCAATGAGATCCCAGTCAGTCACCTCCAAGGAAATGCAAAATTCGCCGTCGCAGGCTTTAATGCGTTGAGATGTTGGGCTTAGCGCGTTGTGGATTCTGCGGGAACAGAGCTGAAAAGATACTTTTTGACAAATTTGACGATTTATAAAACAATACTGCTTTTTCAAAATGGAAACTGCACAGTACGAAAAAGCTTTGAAAAGGTCCGCACTGTGCGAAAAATTGCTTCTGAAATCATTTGTTATAGAGGTTTCGTTATATGAAAGGTTGTTGTACAAATACTGCTATGCAATCTTTACAAAAAATTATGAGTTGTGATAGTAAAACCTCTCTATAACAAACAATTTCAAGAGTCCCAAGAGGTAATTCAGGTCAAAATAAACCTTCGTAGAACGAAGCTCTTCTCTAACGAGTGCATTTTTAGTCTTCGTTGTATGGAGATTTGACTGTAATTTTACTCACCAGAAATCGAATAATTTCATTAGTCAGTTGGATCTCATTGCTTGGAATATCTCTCGGATTCAGTTGACTCAAATAGTGAAGGTAAAGTCGTAGGGGCTTATCGCGAAGAACTTTTTCTAACATGCTGAAAGTATCAAAATATTATCTTTATCTCAACCCGCAATGTAAATACGATAATTAATTTGGCATTTAAAAGTTTGATCAGCTAAAGCTGAGTTCACTAAAAGCCAGAAAGATACAAGTGTTGTGTTGGTCAACAAGAGACGCTTCAAACAGCTCCTTGTGCCCGAGAAATGTTTACTAAAACTGAAACAAAAAGAAATACAAAGAAAACTACCAAACTTTGGCACTCAAATTTTATCCTGAACACCAAAAAACCACTTCAAACACCAAGAAAACCCTCATAATTTTGATAAACGATCTCTCTAAGCAAGAGAAAACGCGACGAAAAAAGGTTTCTGCTCTTTTTTCCGCATCGAAAAAGAACTGACCCACTCCTCGTTGTTTACTGCTGTTTACGTTCTTTTCGTTTGAGACGAAACGAGACAAACGAGAAAGGAATTGTTGCGGCGTTCAAAAGAACAATGACTTTTCGGTCAGCGACAGCTCGGGTCAGCGACAGTTCGGGTTACCGATACTTTGGGTTGCCTTGATCTGTCGTTGTATGCATGATGGAGGCAAGAAAAAGGCTTAATTAATTGAAACAATAAGATTTATCAGGTCCTGCTACCATATCACTTGCATATACTGTGGAATTCTACTGATCCAACGGCTTCGACAGGCTTCGTGCAACTTTTCTGTGGGCCTTCGCCACTTGAAATTCTGTGCAAATCATCGGTGTCAGGTACGCAAAACACGGAGAGTGGTCCCGGATAAAGACACACTTTGGCATGATCTTTGCCTGTTTTCTGCGGAAAAAAATTACTTTTTGTTGAAAAATTACCCTCTACTGTAGACACTGGTGGCAAAATTCGCAAAAAAAACAGTAAAATGTCCCAACTTTTGGCCTAAAAATCTTGGTTGTTTTTGCTAGCAGTTTCACACATGTATCTGACGTTTATAAAGCTCTTGAATCGCGCCTTGTGGCGTAATATTTATTACAGAAACATTGCTTCCATAGTCTTCATCTGTCCCTTTTTCTCGGACAAAAAAGAACGTTTGTGACGAACCAATGAGCATGACATTCTAGTGTCACAAATTTGTTCTCCAATGACATGTCGTGGCCAGAATTAATCAAAAAAAAAACGTACGTTTAAACCATTTCGAATGATGCAATTTTCTATTTCTACTCGAGAATTAAACTTCTTACTAAACTTTTTTGCACATTTTGTTTATAAAATCCGTATTTTACAAAAAAACAATTGACCTTTGGTACGTTTTTTTCTAAAACAATATCAAACATCAAATACCACCTGTTTTTTTTTCTTCTTTTTTGACTATTTTTCCCCTAAAGCTGTAATAAAACTCTTCCCAGTCACATAAAGTACGTAAAAAAAGGCAATTTGTCATTAGAAGCTCTGTTTATAATCCGGAGCCATTGTTTTAACGAGCCTGGGCACAAAGGTCAAGCCTGTTCGTTGGTGACAAAGGTCTTAGATCGGTTTGTCGGGAAAATAATGAGCGGCGTGTCGTTGCGACAGTCGCGTCGCTAACAAGGGAAGTACCCCAAGTGCGACGCTCAGATTTTGATGAAACTTGGCACAAATTTAGAACGATTTTTTCTAAAATATATGCGATATTCCTAGCTCGCGCTTTGCAGAAACAACCGAGTTTTTTCGATCTATATTTGGGAAAAGACGTGGCAATTTTTTTGCGATTTTTAGTATGAAAAGTTTTATAGCTATTTCTACCGGAGAGGGTAATGTCTCCACAAAAAATCAATTTTTCCCACGAAAGATACGGCCAAAAAGCGTTTTTCTTTCTGGTCGCTCTCCTCATTTAGCGCGCTCTCTCGGCGGCAATCGTTCAAGATCTCGGGTGCTTCAACAAAGCGGGAGCTAAAATTTTTAGGAATTGATATCTAACCCATGCTTGACATGTTTGCAAAATTTAGAATAAATATGAGCTCTCAGGCACTTCCTATAACAAAATTATCGCTCTTATCTCCCAAAATCTTTTTTCTTTTTTTTTATTTTTAAAGCTTTGCAGCCGTTTTCATTCCAAAATCTGACCTCTCAAGTCTTCTCTTGCAACTTTCTGACCTTGTAAATACAATATTCATCCTCATTTTGCATATTCAATTGCCTTTTCTTCCACTTTTTAACATCATTTTTCAATTGTCTCCGTTTTTTTTGCTTTTTTTAACAAATCTCTCCCAATTTTCGACAAGTGGCCGGAAAGTAATAAAAAATGGAAAACTGTTCTGATTTTTCGCCGTAGGCCAACCACCTGACGTGCCGTGATCTTTTCGGGGCTCTCGATTTTTAACGTTTCTTATGATGAGATGGTTCGTGGAAATGATGTTTGGAGGACCATTGGAACTGAAAGCTTTGATTTTTTTTGGTCTGAAGGTTACTTTGGGGAGATTTGGAAGTTTCTCTTTATTTTTGAATAAAAAAGAAAAGTTCGCGGAAATTTAAAAAATTAAAATTTTTTTTTTTCAATTTTTTATATTGTAGTAGGTAGGTAAAGGTGAGCGTCAAAAAAATAAAAAAAATTGGGTTTACTCTTTTATTTTTTAGAATATTCCCTTATTGTCAAAAACAAAAAATAAAAAAAATGCTTTTTTCGCACTGTGCAAAATTTTAATTTTCAAGCCTTGTCTTTTGCAATTTTTATCGTTTGCACAGTGCATAAATTTTCGACTTTTTATTGTTCGCACTGTGCAATTTTTTTTACTTTTTTGCACAGTGCAATTTACTGTTTTTTGATATCGCACTGTGCAAAATTTTTCAAATCTTGTCTTTTGCACTGTGCAAAAATTTTTGACTCTTTATTTTTTGCACAGTGCAATTTTGTTACCCGCACTGTGCAAAATTTTTTTTGACTTTTTGCACTGTGCAATTTTCTCTAATTCCCTACTGACTTTTTATACTTTTAAATTTCCCCAATTTCAGAAAACAGCAATTCCCGAAAGCTCCATCTTGATTATATAAACACTGCTCCAACCACAAATTCAAGTGCAATTTTGCGGGCATTTCCAAGAACGGCCAAATGTCCTTTTTAACCGTTGTTTTTTTTCTAACTTTCTTCGAAAAAGAAAATGAGCCTGACGTGAATGGGGATGGGAGACCAATTCTGGCGATTAGAAATGCATTTGTGTTAAAATTTGAAAATTTTTTTTGGAAAGTCGCAAAAAAAAATTTTTTGATTTTTTTTTGTTTTTTCAAAATTTGCGTATCTCATATGTCTACAACAATCCAGTAATCAATTCCAAAAAATTTTCGCTTGCCCTTCGCAGCATCCTCTGAGACATTCCATAATTTTTGCAGAAAGTGCAAAAAAATAAGGAAAGCCGTCAGAAAAAAAGTTGTTTAACTTTCGACCAAAAATATTGGCCATGTCGGCAAAGTCCAAGCTCAAAAATCACACATTTTTCATTAAAAATTCTGGTCGTGATTTCTGACAAAATTTCTCCAAAATTTTTTGGTCGATTTTTGAAAATATTTTTTTTTTAAATCTGCACTGTGCAACCAAACATTTTGAAAGCACTGTGCCTAAAAATTGTCCTAATGTTATTTTATAGCCTATTTTATAGCCTATAGATCATTTTAACTTTGCTATCAGTCTGTCGGGAAAATAATGAGCGCGTCGCTGAAGTCAAAAGCAACTCAATTTTGCCGCGACACAATTGATTTTCTTAACGGCCATGTGATTTTCGTTGCGACAGAGTGCTCATTATTTTCCCGACAGACTGATAATTACACATATCTTCCTTAAACTTCATCTTAAAAATCATGTTCATCTCGGATTTCAAAGACAATCTCTGAGATAGACAAGAACATGACATCCCTGTTGCAAAAAATAAAAAGAAAACTCTGAAAAATGTCAAAAATCCCGTCCCGATATCAACGTCTGTCCTTTTTGACATTTGTTTCGACAAGATCCTATGATTTGCCCTTAGGCAAAAAAAATTTTTTTTTTGAAAATTCCTAAAAATTCCAAAAAATTTTTGCCATCCAGACGACACTATTTTTTACATCCAAAAAAACGAATTCTTTCTGTTAAATTGCGCGGAAATTAAAGCGGCCGAAATAAATTTTCGGCCGAATTTTCCCCCGACTTTTGGCCGTTCGAATTTTTTTTTTATTTTTTTTTCTCTCTGCAGAAATGACACGCAAAGGATGGGCGGCTGGGGGATAAACGGATGTGCAGAGAGTTTGTACATGGGTTTATAATTGAATGCGACTAAATTTAGTTTCCAAATTGACCGATCAAACTTTTTTTTGAAGAGCGGGTCAGAAACGTCTACTTTTAAAGACGTTGGGGTTGGAAAAAAATGGGATCTTTTGAGAAATGATGAGTTCAAAATTAGTCTCATGGAGGCTACACGTATTTTAAAAATAAGTTTTGCTTTTCTTTATAAGGGATTTTGGACATTATACGAAAATTTTTGTCGGGAAAATAATGAACTATGTGGCAACGAATATCGTCGCTGAGAAAATGAGCTGTGTCGCGGAAAAATCAAAAATTGTTTTTCACTTTAGCGACGCGATTGGCGCAGCGACATGTGCTCATTATTTTCCCGACAAACTGGTATTTTAAATAAAAAATTCCGGAATTTTCATATTTTTTGAATTAAAACAGGCTTAAGTTCGAGTATCAAAAGTAAAATGGTCCTAAAATAATTTCATTGATTCAATATTGTCGTATTTTACCCACCAAGTCCCTCAATTTTTTCGAAAAGTCCCAAAGTTTGACTGTTTACTGTGCTTTCATACTCTAGTATAGTGTATCAAAAATCATTTTAGATCATAATAAATATCTCATTCTATCTCTAATTAGCCTTTTTTTACTATTTTTGGCCTCTATTCTTACTGTAACTTTCGCCTTTTTGGTCTTCAACTTTTTCAAATTTCCAAAAATTTGATGAGTTACTGCATGTTAAAAAAATTCCAAAAATCACAAAAGACTAATTTATTTTTCAAAACAGGCCTTTTTCTACCCAATACAAAACATTTTGCCTTCTTCATGCCTTTAATCTTACTGTAATTTCCATTTCTTCCATCCCGCTTACTTGATTGTTTTCCCTTGACTTTAATTTTTTCCCCAGATTTTCAGCTTTCCAAAATTACTCAACTCACTGAAAACGTGTTCCTCATGTTTCTCGCCCTCCGATCCTGACAGTGTCAATGGCGATCCCGGCGGCTAGGCTTTGTTTTCTGGCGCTAGGCCTGCTCGGAGTGCAGTGTAAGTTCTGTGAGTTTTTTACTACTTTTTTACTTGCTCTGTAACATTTTATAAATTTATTGACTATGCTTTTTTAACAGTATGCGATGTTTTAACCAAAATTTTTGGATTTTTGAGATATTTCAAGTTTTCGTTGTGGGACACAAAATACATAAAAAAATTGAGAAATTACACTATGCCAAAGAACAGGAGAGGATTAAGAAACTGTCCTTATTATTTTTACACTTTGTAAAATACGACTAGCTCAACTTTGCTTCTATTTTTCTCATTTCAAGAAAAAATTTTGGGTCCCACCACGAAAACATGAAAGGTCCCAAAACTAGGATTTTTTGATAAAAAAATGCTTTAAGCTGCTTGAATTATGACAATTATGACAATCTGTGTCGATTTTTTCATTTCAAAGTAACAATTTTGGGTCCCACCCCGAAAACATGAAAGGTCTCAAAACTTAAATTTTTCGATAAAAAATGCAGTCACTTGCTTCAATTATGAAAACTAAATCTTTTAGATGGTCTTTCAAACAGCATAGAAGGCAGTGGAGAGGAGGAACTGGTCGACAACCTCGGCTTCGAACTCCCCGCTCACTACAAACTGGAACGACAGCTGATGAAGTACTACAATAACCGGATATTACCTCGACGAAAAGCCGCGTGGTCGGTCAAGGTCAAATTTAGGATTGCTTTGTATCAGATTGTGGAAGTTGTAAGTTGAATTGTAGTTTTTGGGTTATGGTATGTAATTATTTTGTAGAACGAACCTCAACAGTATATCATTTTGAACTCATGGATTGTGGAGGTAAGGGGGACTGAAAAGTCGTCATCGTTTACATATTTTTTTGAAATTTCAAAAAAATTTTTTCTTAATTTAGAGTTGGAAAGACGATTTCCTTTTTTGGGACCCCGCAAAATACGAGAATATCACCGAAATTATCTTGCCAGCCGAAAGTTTATGGACTCCGGATACAACTTTGTACAATTCGTAAGTTATATAGTATAAAGCTATTAGTCTGGGGAAAATAATGAGCACTCTGTCGCTGCGCCAATAGCGTCGCTGGATTGAAAGGCAATTTGATTTTTGCTTTTCACTTTATTTTGCCAGTTAAACCTGTACAAAGGTTTAGCTAGAGGTGGCAATCGGGCCGGGCCGATTTTTGCGGCCCGCAAAAACAAAAAAGTTGGGTAAAAGTCTTTGCACTTTCTACTGGAAGTTTTTATGCTTTCCAGAAGTTTTTTACGTGTGTATGCGTGACATTAAGAAGTGTAGTCGGATGACTGGAACATCCGTACAGATAGCTAAAACCTAGCCATAAAGTTGGACTGTGTTGAATTTTTTTATCCTATAGGAAGTTAGCTAAAAATATGGACGTTATAAGGCTACATGGTTAACCAAAAACTGTTTAAAAACTTTCATTTACATCAAGGAATCAAAATTACAGTGAAATTTTTAAATTGATCATAAAAAAATTCGAAGATTTTTGCCCCACCCTTGCATATTTGGGTGGGATTTTATATATGCATAATAAGTTACATATACATACTATACATAATTTTAAAAGGTAGTAAAACAGCGTATAAGTCAAAAAAGGTTTAATTAATTTCCATCCATTCTACAAAGCATTTGTGCTTTATTTTGCTGGTTTAGCATTAAAAAATTTTTACTTATCTACCTTCCGGGCCGGGCCGAAGCGGTCAGGCCGGCCCAGGGCTTTTTCAAATCTGCTCAGGCCCGGGCCAGCCCGATTGCCACCTCTAGGTTTAGCTGCGCCAAACAAAAAATAATATTAATATTGGCGTTTCAGCCTTTCAATGTCGGACTCTGAGAGTCGCCGGATTCAGAGTATCAAAGTCACCACTCTTCCCCACAAACGCACCGCTCAAATCGAGTTCCTCTACCCCACGTTGTACAAATTCAGCTGCACATTGGATTTGAGGATGTTTCCGTACGATGAGCAGGTAAGCGGCGATCTAAAGAAGCTCTAATGATAGAGTATATCTAAATGATAGAGTTTCAAACTTCTCATATGATAAAAAATAGATAGTCAGATGAATTGTTCGTATTTTACGTCTTGAAATCATCAGCTTTTGATGGTTTTTAAGATGGAAGTTGAAAAAGCGTTAAAATTTTTCGGAATTGAAGATAAACCAAAGTTATCAGTCTGTCGGGAAAATAATGAGCACTCTGTCGCATTGAAAATCGCATCAATGTCGAGAAAATGAATTGTGTCGCGGAAAAATCAAATTACTTTTCACTTCAGCGACACGATTAGCGCAGTAAAATTGTGCTCATTATTTTCCCGACAAGCCGAAAAGTCCCGCAGATTTATCACAATTCTATATATTTTCTGTCCAAATAGCAGACGTCGTATTTTACCATTCTGAAATAATTTCACTGGCTTCAAAAAAGCGTATTTATTTTACCTATTATATATTCTCCTCGCATTTTACTCCCCCTCTTGCTTTTCATTTTCCATCCAAATAATTATGATTTAATTTACCCCGCACCCCGCCTATCTCCAACTTTGACCCGAACAGACTCTGTGTAATGTGATTTCGAAGGGCCAATTTTCCGATATCGGCCTCCTGGGACTTGAAACTTTTTTCTCTTTTTTTTTGTCTCAAAAAATGTCGGGATTGCAAAAAAGTCAAGCTAAAAATAAACTCACAATACGTATATCTACAGTTTTTTTTGCAGTTCTGCGTGCTGACCTTTGGCAGTTGGACGCATGACAACAAAGCCATTGACTACCAGCCGAATAATGGGACAGATGCGGCAATTGGGGTGGAAAATTGCATCGAAAACGAGGAATGGAATATTATTCAGACCTCAGGTAAACAAAAATATTTACACGGTGAAGTTTAATTGCGGTCTTTTGCGCCTTTATCGGTCTTGAAACGATTTTTTTTATCTTGGCATTCTGTTGCAAGGCAATTTTTTGGTTAAGAAATGGATGTGGTTGATTTTGAACACTCTTTGAGGCAAATTAATGCAAAAAAAAAGTTTTTTGACTCTCACCACGATTCCCTGAATTTTTGGCATTCTGTTGCAAGGCAATTTTGTTGGTTAAAAAATAGATGTGGTTGATTTTGAAAACTCTTTGAGGCAAATTAATGCAAAAAAAAGTTTTTCGACTCCCGCCACGATTCCCTGAATTTTTGGCATTCTGTTTCAACCCCCAAAATTGCTCTAAAATCGTATTTTTTAGTGTCTCGCATCGAAAGGAAGTACCGCTGTTGTCCAAACAACTACACACTACTCGAATTTTACATCAATATCCAAAGAAAACCGCTTTATTACATCACCAACCTTATTACACCAACAGCTATCATCACATTCATCGCTATCATCGGGTTCTTCACATCAGCCACGGTGAACCAAATTCGTGCCGAAAAGATTACACTGGGAATTACTACGGTAAGAGAGTTTTGATTTTGGAGATTTAAAAAAAATCGAAGTTTTCGTTGCGAGACCAAAAAAATTCTTGAGTTGGCAATAAAATGAAAATTTTACTTTTGAATGTGAAAATTTAGCCTATGTAAATCATAATAGACTCAAATTTAATAAGTTTTATTACTTTGGAAGTTTTCGTGGTGGGACCAAAAAACTTGATTTTAATTTTTGAATTTTTCTTATTATTAGGTTGATGCAAAAGGAATTGCGGATTTTTTAATTTATTCGTATTTTTTTATAGGATAGCTCAATTCAAAAATGGAAAAAGGTATATAGTAGTAAATTTTAAGAGGATTTTTTCTGTATATGTGCTATTCTTATAAAAGTTATCAAACGTTACCATAAGTTACCACGAAGGTACCCTAAACATGTTAGTACATTTTAAACCAATTTTTTTACATATTTTTTGCGGCTTTATCCATTTTTGAAAATATTTTGATAAAATACGTTATATTCTATCAAAAAACAAAAAAACCCCCATTTTTGGCAAAGCGTTAAAACGCTATCCCAAAAATTCAAATTTCAGCAAATTTTACAAATCGTGTCATATCTTTTTTTTAATAAGTCCAAAATAAAAAATTCTTTTTGCTTTCGATTAGTAACAACGTTTTTAAGGCTTTCGTGAAAAAAAGACATCAAAATCTTGAATTTTATTTTTTGGTCAAAAAATGTCAAAAAAATTAATTTTTTTGATTTTGATGTTTTTTGTCACAAAAATCTTAAAAATGTTGTTACTAATCGAAAGCAAAAAGAATTTTTTATTTTGGACTTATTAAAAAAAGATATGACACGATTTGTAAAATTTGCTGAAATTTGAATTTTTGGGATAGCGTTTTAACGCTTTGCCAAAAATGGGGTTTTTTTGTTTTTTGATAGAATATAACGTATTTTATCAAAATATGTTCAAAAATGGATAAAGCCGCAAAACAATATGTAAAAAAATTGGTTTAAAATATACTAACATGTTTAGGGTACTTTCGTGGTAACTTATGGTAACGTTTGATAACTTTTATAAGAATAGCACATATACAGAAAAATCCTCTTAAAATTTACTACTATATACCTTTTTCCATTTTTGAATTGAGCTATCCTATAAAAAATACGAATAAATTAAAAAATCCGCAATTCCTTTTGCATCAACCTAATATCATCGTTATCGTTTTGGCCAATCTTTTTAGGTCAAAGAAACTTTGCGGAAACGTATTTTACATCCAATTTTAGCTTCTCTCCATGTCCATTTTGATTTTCATGGTATCCGATAAAATGCCGTCAACTTCTTCGTTTGTACCGTTAATTGGTAAGTAGAACAATATATCCGTCTGTCGGGAAAATAATGAGCACAATGTCGTTGTGTCGCTGAACTGAAGAGTAATTTAATTTTTCCGCGACATAATTCATTTTCTCGGCGGCGATGCGATTTTCGATGCGACAGGATGCTCTTTATTTTCCCGACAAACTGATCATCCGTATTTTACAACATATTTTTTAAAAGATGTTTCCTCTTTTGAAACAATAGTTTTTGACCAACCCATCGATCGGTCGAAAAGAAAAAAAAACTTTTTTTAGGATGGTTCTACACCTCGATGATGTTACTCATCTCTCTGGGAACCTGGGCGTCCGCCGTTGTAATCTCCGTTCAGAAGAAGGGAATTATGGGCAAACGTCCACCAATGAGAACAATGAGATGGGCGAGGAAGCTGGGCAAATTGCTCCAAGTGGAAATGCCGCTGCTGATGAAGCAGGCTTACGTGCTGAAAGCGAAGGTATATTTTAAATGTTTTTTGATGTGGATAACTGCGGGCAACCAAAAGGGAGTACTAACCACAGATCGTAAAAAAAGTATATTTACTTTGGACCAAGACCGGGCCCTTATTGTTAGCAATTATGGAAACTCAAAAATTCTAGTAATGTTTCTATCACAAATGGTTCAGTGATCAGTGCCGGGAGCGTAATTCCGTCTATATGTGTATAGAAAAAGTCATTAGAAACGATATGGCTCGTTAAATCAAGATGGGAACTCTTCAAGTTGTTTTTTAATAAAAAAAAGGAAGGTACCCCAAGTGCATGCAGGCTAACAGGGAAAGTATTCCAAGTGCGACGCTCAGATTTTGATGAAACTTGGCACAAATTTAGAATAAGTTTTTCTAAGCTAACCGCGAGGATCCTAGCTCGCGCTTTGTAGAAACGACCGAGATTTTTAGATCGAAAGTCGGCGAAAATTTAGGACTTTTTGCCGAATTTCGGCACGAAAATTTTCATGCCTATTTCTTCCGTAAAAAATAATTTTTCTACAAACAATCAAATTTTTCCGCACGAAACTGTCAAAGTTATGGCCAAAAAGCGCGTTTCTCTCTGACCGCTCTCCACGTTTAGCGTGCTCTCTCGGCGGCAAAAATCGTTCGATATCTCGGCGGCGCCCGCAAAGCGCGAGCTAAAACTTTCAGGAATTGATATTTAGTCCATGCCCGACGTGTGTGTAAAATTTAAAAAAATCTGTGCGTCGCACCTGGAGTACTTCCCCTGTAAGATGTTTTGGAATTTATGGCTTAAGCCCAACGTGTGCGCGCAAAATTGATATAGAAAATCTGAGAGTCACACTTGGAACACTATCCTTCTTACAATAAGATTTATTGAAAAAATTGGTTTGAAATTTCTCCTTAAAAACAGTCTCAGGAAGTTCAAGATGCTTGAAAACGGACAGCCTTGTAAAAAATTTGTGGTTTTTGTCCAATCAGTCAAGAAAACGGTCGAAAAAGATTTCTCAGGCCTTCGGCCAACGTGATGAGTTCCCTGTCTGTTGCTGTTTTTCAATTCGACGTGAAAAAACTTGTTATTGAAACATAAATAACATGGCAGAACGTATTTTACAACCATAACATCCCAAGTAATGATTAACAAATTTTCAGCGACGAAAAACATTGTTCAACCTTCTCAGATCGAACGAGTTTTTCGGCGGGAAAAAGTCCAATTCTGACGATAAATTGGTATTAATTACAATTATTTTAAACTTTTACTAACATTTCCGCTAACAATTTACTAGCTGCAGAATTACTTTAACTCCTTCGACTCTCCTTTACCTATTACTCTTTATTTTCGGCTAGAAAATTGTATGAAAAGCCTAAAATACGCGCATTTTCAGCAAGAAAAATTGATGAAACAGAACTCGCAGCGGCGTGGGTCGCTTTGGGCGAGGTCTTGGCAAAAACTGAGCAACTCGAGATCCGCGACACCCGGCACAAATTCAACGTTAGTGCCGCCGAGTAGTGATGGTAATAATATCGGACTGACGAGATTAGCGTCTTTCCAACGACAACAACAACAAATGGAATTGTCGGCGCTGTCTGTTGGTGAGTAGAGCGTGGTGATTCGTGCTATTTACAGTTGTTATCGAGTGGTTTAATAACCTTTTTTTTTGCTTTTTATAATCCATTCAAGCTATTTTAGTGATGTTTTGAATATGTTCTTTGCAAGGGAAGCCTTCAAATGGGGTTTTTTTTTGATAAAAAGTTTTAAAAAAAGGAATGTTTTTTGCTTATTTCGGTGTTAAAATCTTTCAAACTCAATGAGTAACAATGCAGATTGTAAGATATATCATTATATCTAGATATAATAATATATTGTACCACCTTGTACTATACAGTACCATGTGCAAAAAACACATTTTTGAGAAGTGCTGGGCTTCAAATCAACAGCATTAACGCGTTATGGCTCTATTTTTACCTCGTGCTATATAGTACCACCTCGTACCATACAGTACCAAGCGCTAAAAACATGTTGTTTGAGCAGTACTATGCACCAAACCAACAGCATTAACATCTGAATGCATAATTTTTAATTGTACTATCCTGCATGGGGGCAAAAACGTCCTGGGGACAAAACCGGTGTGGGGACAAAAAAATAAAAAAAGTGGGGACAAAAACGTCTTGGGGACAAAACCGTCCTGGGGACAGAACCGGTCTGGGGACAAAAAGGCTCGAAAAAAGTGGGGACAAAACCGTCTTGGGGACAAAACCGGGGTGGGGACAAAACCGGGCCCAATCGCCACCTTCCTTAGAATTAGCAAAGATTCGTGTTATGCATTGCACAGAATTCAATGTTTGGTGGTTAGCCTCTAAAGTCATCATTTGGGGGCTACTCCTTACCCATCTATAAGGAAAAATTTTGTATGACATCCGCAATTCTGTTTCACCGAGATCTGAATGGAATTTCTAACACTCCCTAACTGTGCCGTTCCTCTTCTACTCCCTCGAACCTAACCCTCCGTACGTTTGCTCTGACTCTGTCGCTTCTTTCTTCCGACTTTCCTCTCTTTCCCAAGGTGTTCTGAGCACTGACGATGTCCGATTCGCAGATGAGGGTGACGAAGATCTGATCGTGGACGACTGGGAAGGGACGCCGGTTCCGGCGACGCCAACACGGCTTCAGCCCAATGGGGAGGTCTGGCCACCGGAGCCGCCCGAATCTCCGCCAAGGAGATCGCATAGCGCGGCGACCGCGCCACTTGTAAGAGCGATGAGTCGGAAAGCGACGATTATTCCGGAGATTTCACTGGATGGAAGTGAGTTTAATGAGATGAATTTCTCATTAAAATGGCCTCTAAAAAGCGTATATAGCTCAGGACTTATAAATCTTTGTGTGTCCAGAAAATGTGTCATGATGACATTTGTTTAAAACCTTCCTATGATATAAAAAACGGCTGTGAATGGCTACTAGTACTTTCTAGAGTACCACAAAAAAAATCGGTCTTAAAAATTTCGTAATTCGCAATTTGGATGACGGATTTTCTGGATTTTTTTCGCGACGGGAACTTTGCAATGCCCAAAATTGTTTGACTTGCTCTAGAGAGTACTTCTAGCCATCTACAGCCGTAGCTTTTACCACTGGAACATTTTGAACCGCTGTCATCGTGACACATTTTCTGGACATGCAAAGATTTATAAGCTGCGAGCCATACGTATGTCAATCTCTTTCAGACCCAACAATAACCCTTCCACAAGGCCAGCAACGAACCTTGGCCGAAATTGAGTACGATTGGCTCGCAGAAGTGATTGAAAGGATATTCCTCCTCATTTTTATCATCCTATTCCTCATTTGTGGAGTGGGAACGAACATGTTTGGCTTCTACCACTGGATGATGACCAAACAGATCGATAAAATCGTTCAGTAATCAAATTGAGAACGCCAGAAAAGACTCGGTGCATTGTATTTCCGCTGATCTCACAAATCCTTACACGCCATGAACTTTACATACATTTTTTAAGTCTTGAATTTTTGATTTTAATAAATTTGAATTATAGCTATTTCTTTGAGAACCCTGCTAGTTTTTTTAAAACTTTATTAACTTCAAACCGGTTGATATGTTAAGTGTGGACGGGAAATGCAACAAAGAGAAATGGGGTTACGAAAAGACGGTGGGGGTGATACCCGTGTTTGTGGTCTTAAAGCGGCTTGGATCACACAAATAAGTCGAGTCAAAATTGTACAGTAAGAGGGCTGAGATTACAGTCAACAACAAGATAGAAATCTACTCGGGTCTATGGGGAAATGAAAAGATTACATAAAAGGGGGCGTGGCTCCGATGAAAGTGGGCGGAGCTTCGGTTGAATAGGGCGGAGCCAAAGAAAACGGAAGACAAGTGGGCGGGGCCTCAATGACAGTAGGCGGAGCCTGGAAAGATGGAAGACAAGTGGGCGGAGCTTCAAGAAAGCTAGGTGGAGCCTCAAGAAAAGTGGGAGGAGCCTGAAGAAAAGTCCACGGGGCGTCAAAGAACAACCCTGTCACGTGGATTTCGTAGCCTATCATAGCCTAAGGCCCAACAGTGTCAATGCCATTAAAGAACTCAAAATATTTCAAATGCCTCAGCGACTGAGCATTATCGACTTCAGTTGCATTCTTCTCCTCCTCGCTGACACAAATCCGGTCGCCCGAGAAAGCAGCACGAGGAAAGAAGGAGTCAGTGCAGTCCGAAGAGGTCTGATTGAAACGCTCCACTTGGTGCTCGGTTTCGGACTGGATTTCCTCTTGTCTGAAAAATAAGGTTAAGTTGTGAGATCAGTATGTTTAATTTTTGCAATTTTTAAGGTTTTTTTGGGAGTCTTGCTAATTTTAAGCAGTGAGGGGAACACTTGACCCAGATTTTAAATTGTTGTTAAAAAGGGGAAAATGGACTTTTTTAAAACGGTTTTGATGCATCAAGCACAACATAAAACTTTTTCAAAGACTTTTTTATGGAGTTTTGCGAATATTAAGCTGTGAGGAAAACACTTGACCCAAAACAAAACTTGTTGTCGAACCGCAAAAAAGACAATTTTTAAATGGCTTTGATGCATCAAGGCATAAAAACGACATAAAAAAGCAGCTAAGCAATGAGGGAAACACATGACCCAAAATTTTTATTTTGCATTTTGTGTCAAAAATCTCCGCGCATGTGCTACAGTTTTCAAAAAGCTATGTATACAAAAATCGGAGTTCCCCTTACCGTTTAGGATCCACGCAAACATAGTCATAAGCGTCGATGGCGCGCCAAATTTTGCCAGTTCGGCAAGAATTTGCTCCAAAAGTTTTTCCATCGGAATAGAAATGCTGTCTTGCCACTTGACGACGGAGATCGGACTCATCGATCTCCCTGTCCTTGTCCAAACAAACATGTTGAATGCCGGCTGTGGGCTCCTTCAGACGACTGGCAACTTCGCCGAGACGACACTCCGTCTGAAAAAAGAGCGTTATGATCGGTATTTGGAGAGAAAATGCACCGTGCAGAGAACGCAAAAGATTTTTTTGCACGGTTCAAAAAAGAAAGAGATTGGAATTCTCCTGCACAGTGCGGGGGAGAAATCATGGAAATTTATCGCACTGTGCGGCTTCTTTTTTTGAATTTTGCACGGTGCGGCGAAAAAATCACGAAAAACATATCGCACTGTGCGGCTTCGTTTTAATTCTTGCACAGTGCTGTAAAGAAAAAAACTTGAAAATTTCTGCACTGTGCGGTAAAAAAATCATTCGAATTTATCGCACTGTGCAGTTACTTTTTTCTTTTGAATTTTTGCACAGTGCAGAAAAGAAAGAGATTGAAAATTTCCCGCACAGTGCGGTGAAAAGAATCACAAAAATACGTCGCACTGTGCAGTTTATTTTATCTAATTTTTGCACGGTGCGGCAAAAAAATTTGATAATTCGATTGCACAGTGCAAACGAAAGTGACATCGCAAAAATTGTGCACAGTGCGGAAAGAACTTGAAATTTGCTTGCACAGTGCGGTAAAAAGAACCTAAAAATATGTCGCACTGTGCGGAATGTTTTTTTTCTAATTTTTGCACGGTGCGGTAAAAAAAATTTATAGTTTGATTGCACAGTGCAAAATGAAAAAAAAAACGAATTACCGGTGAAAAAGTGGAGCTGATCGTGATATCCGCATCCGTCGCATAAACCTTCTTCACACTAACTCTCAACGCTTGGAATCGCCCATTAATGGTAACATCCAGAAATTTGACCCATTCCGTCCCTTCCGTCAGCTCGTAATAATCCTGCGCCTGACTCAACAACACACTGTAATAACTCTCTCCGGCCCGCTGAACTCGATGAATTAGGACACTGGCTTGCCCGATTCCTCGATCAAAGTTGTGGGGGGTCCGCAGTTCGACGGTGTAAAAGTTGCGAGGATTGGTTCGGTCGTACGGAATCATAACAAACAACCAGCCTCTAGTCGCGTTATGTGCGACACTGAGAGAAGACAGTCTGAGAGTGTAATTTTGCCGTCCATCGTGGCCAAAGTAGAGCATTCGATCCATGGGAAGCCAGCCGAGAAAGTCCAAATGAGCTCCGTTCAGGCCGGGACCCGCCATTCCGAAGGGCGACAGATGCATGTAGGCGTTGGCCGTGCTCATCAAATCGTAGCGATCGTCGTATTCGCCGTTCAGCGCGTAGGGAAACACCTGGAAATAGAATTTTTTTGAGATTTGAGATTTTTTGGAATGAGGAGAAGACTTGACTCAAAGGGCGATTTTTTTTTCATTGTGATAAAATGCGCTGCAAAAAATTAACACTTTCTTAAAAATTAAGTTAAAAAAATGAATTTAATGCAGCATAAATGCTATCGCTGGTATTTTAAAAAAATTGGGTCAAGTGTTTCCCTAATATCAAATATCAAAAAAATCTAAAAAAAATACTTTTTTGACTCTCTCCATGTCCTAGATCCCTAAAATTAATTTTTTTTCAGTAATTTTTCGTTGGGTCAAGTGTTCTCCTCGCAGCAAAAATTTTGCCAAACAGTCGAAAAAATTGCAAAACCCAAAAATATAAAATAAACTCACTCTAATCTTCCGATCACTGTATGAGTGCCCAATAAAGAACGAATGAACCATTTCATGAGTCAAAACACTTGGGAACATCATCTGTGGCGTCAACAAAACTCCATATTTCTTCCCATAAACCGCCGTTGTGCCTCCATTCACGATTGTAATTTTTTGTCGATGGGTTACAACTCCATTTCGTTCCGCTTCTTTCACACACAGCTCTTTGATCTTGTCGAAATACTAAATTTGAAAATTTGAAGTTTAAACGAGATTCGCTTACCTCAAAACTGCTTTCACTGCCCAGCTTGAGGGCGGTTTGGATGTTGGTGAGACGGAGGATTTCCTTCTGTTTGAAGGGCAATTGGAACCAGCCATGAACATCGGTCCCGTCGATTGTGTAGACGCCGTTGGAAACTTGCTCAAAATAACTGCGAATGGAATCTGAAAAAAAAGAAATTATATTTTTTCGACGTTCGTATGTTTATTTTTCTGATGTCGCATCGATTTTTTTTATTTTTGCAATTTTTTGAACAGATAATTCCATTAAAACAAAATTTTTTGAGCCGCACTGTGCAGTTGAATTTTTTCCCCATTCGCACTGTGCAAAAAATCAGAAACCCGATTTGCACTGTGCAAAAATTTTACGAGCATCCGCACTGTGCAAAAAAAATCGTCCGATTGCACTGTGCATTCAAAAAGGGGCTCTTCTCTTTTTGTTTTTGTCTTTGGATGAGCAGCGACAAACGACTGCACTGTGCGCGAAACACCATGTTTTCAAACGGTGCACGAGAAAAGTGGATTTGCGCATTTTGCGGAGCGACAAAATTTCGACAGAAAGAAGACGCACAGTGCAACTTGAAAAAATGAAGTTTGCACAGTGCAGACAACCAAACAACTTTGCACAGTGCAATTTGAAAAAAATAAGACTTGCACGGTGCAATTTCAAAAAAGAGTTCTGCACAGTGCAAACAAAAAACAAAAAGGTGCGATTTGAAAAAATGAAATTTTGCACAGTGCAGGTAAACAAAACAAAAAATAATTTGCACAGTGCAGACATTCAAACATTTTCGCACAGTGCAATTTGAAAAATGAGATTTGCACAGTGCAAGAAAACAAATAACTTTGCACAGTGCAAAAGAGATTTGCACAGTGCAGCAAAAAAATAAAAATTTGCACGGTGCAACTTGAAAAAGCGAGATTTGCACAGTGCAGACAAACAAAAAACTTCGCACAGTGCAATTTAGAAAAATCAAATTGCACAGTGCGAACAAACAAAACAAAAAATAATTTGCACAGTGCAGACAAAAAACAAGTTCGCACGGTGCAATTTGGAATCCTTCGATTGCGACCCCGCTCGATTGCGACCTCGCATCGATTGCGACCCCGCATCGATTGCGACCCAAAATGGGGTAAAGCGACCCCGGGATGAAAATTCCTCGATTCTCTTCGGGAAAAACTTGCTTTAGGGGTTTTCGAGGGTGCTGATTTCGAAAATGATGTTCATTTTTCCTCTAGTACTACATAGTGCTGTCTGATACTATATAGTACGAAGTGAAAATATCGCTTTTGACGTTAAATACTCGATTTAGGGGTTTTCGAGGGTGCTGATTTCGAAAATGATGTTCATTTTTCCTCTAGTACTACATAGTACTGTCTGATACTATATAGTACGAAGTCAAAATATGGCTTTTGACGTTAATGGTGTTGTTTTGATGCTTAGTACTCTTCAAAAACACGTTTTAAAGGCTTGGTGCTATATAGTACTGTCTGATACTATATAGTACGAAGTAAAAATAGGCGTACTAAGCACCAGAACAACACCACGAACGCCTAAAGGCCAACTTTAACCTCGTACTACATAGTATCAGATAGTACTATATAGCACCAAGTCTTTAAAACGTGTTTTTGAAGAGTACTAAGCATCAAAACAACACCATTAACGTCAAAAGCGATATTTTGACTTCGTACTATATAGTATCAGACAGTACTATATAGCACCAAGCCTTTAAAACGTGTTTTTGAAGAGTACTAAGCATCAAAACAACACCATTAACGTCAAAAGCGATATTTTGACTTCGTACTATATAGTATCAGACAGTACTATATAGCACCAAGCCTTTAAAACATGTTTTTGAAGAGTACTAAGCATCAAACCAACACCATTAACGTCAAAAGCGATATTTTGACTTCGTACTATATAGTATCAGACAGTACTATGTAGTACTAGAGGAAAAATGAACATCATTTTCGAAATCAGCACCCTCGAAAACCCCTAAATCGAGTATTTAACGTCAAAAGCGATATTTTGACTTCGTACTATATAGTATCAGACAGCACTATGTTGTACTAGAGGAAAAATGAACATCATTTTCGAAATCAGCACCCTCGAAAACCCCTAAATCGAGTATTTAACGTCAAAAGCGATATTTTGACTTCGTACTATATAGTATCAGACAGCACTATGTTGTACTAGAGGAAAAATGAACATCATTTTCGAAATCAGCACCCTCGAAAACCCCTAAATCGAGTATTTAACGTCAAAAGCGATATTTTGACTTCGTACTATATAGTATCAGACAGCACTATGTTGTACTAGAGGAAAAATGAACATCATTTTCGAAATCAGCACCCTCGAAAACCCCTAAAGCAAGTTTTTCCCGAAGAGAATCGAGGAATTTTCATCCCGGGGTCGCTTTACCCCATTTTGGGTCGCAATCGATGCGGGGTCGCAATCGATGCTGGGTCGCAATCGATGCGGGGTCGCAATCGATGGAATTCGTGCAATTTGAAAAAAAGAAATTTGCACAGTGCAAACAACAAACCAGTTTGCACAGTGCAATTTGAAAAATGAGATTGCAAAGTGCAAGCGAAGATTTGCACAGTGCAGCAAAAAAATAAAAATTTGCACGGTGCAACTTGAAAAAGCGAGATTTGCACAGTGCGACAAACAAAACATTTCGCACAGTGCAATTTGAAAAAATCAAATTTGCACAGTGCGAACAAACAAAACAAAAAATAATTTGCACAGTGCAGACAAAAAACAAGCTCGCACCGTGCAATTTGAAAAAAAAAGAAATTTGCACAGTGCAAACAACTAACCAGTTCGCGCAGTGCAATTTGAAAAGCGAGATTTGCACAGTGCAGACAAACAAAAAACTTCGCACAGTGCAAGCGAGATTTGCACAGTGCAGCAAAAAAAATAAAAATTTGCACGGTGCAACTTGAAAAAACAAGATTTGCACAGTGCAGACAAACAAAAAACTTCGCACAGTGCAATTTGAAAAATGAGATTGCACAGTGCAGGAAAACAATCAACTTCGCACGGTGCAATTTGGAAAAATCAAATTTGCACAGTGCGAACAAACAAACCAAAAAATAATTTGCACAGTGCAGACATACAAACATTTTCGCAGGGTGCAAAAATTAAATTTTTTGATTTTTCCGGAGAAAACTAAAAAAAAAAATTCAAAAAAATTTTGAACTTGCCTGGATGCGATCCGGTGATCCAATCTCTCACCCACTCTTTCGTTTTCGGCTCATATTTCGGCTGATCCGCGAATTTACACAAAATTATCGACCACGGTTCGTTCTGCCGGCGGGGAATCGCATTTGTAGAGATCAAAAAAAGGAGAAATAAGGAGCAAGAAGTGACTAGTTCCTGTAACATCTGTTCACCTGGACATGAGATTCGTTAGAACGGAGGAGTTTTGTGTTTAGAGCCGCTGAGACCTGAAATAAGATGATTTAGAGCGAAAAAAATTATTTTCAAGGCTTTTTCTCGCGGAAATTGTAAAATGCGGCGCTTGAAGCATTGATATATATTCAAACTTTTTTAAGATCATATTATTGTTGTTAAAAAAGCAAATTTCAAGTCTTCAACATCAAAATCTCAATGGGCTTTGTACAGTATGAGTTGCTGTCGGGAAAATAATGAGCACTCTGTCGCATCGCCGCCGAGAAAATGAATTGTGTCGCGGCAAAATCAAATTGTTTTTTCAGTTCAGCGACGCGATTGGCGCAGCGCATTATTTCTTGCAGTCACTATTTTTCCGACAGAATGATATCTTAGAAAGTCATACACTAATTTTGTGCCATTTTTTGGCCAAAAATTATAATCATCAAAAAAAATTTTTTTTCGAGAATTGTCTCCAATGAACCTTTTCCACCTCTACCGATATGATAAAACCCAAAGTATCCTTTTATATCCATTTTCTAGCCAAAAAAATCCAAAAAAAAATTATTCTCAATTTGTATCAGGTTTAATTAAAATATGACGTCGATTTTTGGGCGCTTCCTTTGTTAATTTCTTCAACTTTGTCAGTAAAAGGAAAAGAATCCAATTTTCCGGCTGCACAGCAACATATTATATTTATTTCCTCAAAAAATCATCTTTTTATTTACTATTTACCATCAGTATGTCGGGAAAATAATGAGCACAATCTCGCTGCTCCCATCGTGTCGCTGAAGTGAAAAGCAATCTGACTTTGCCGCGATACATTTCATTTTCTCGATGGCAATGACATTTTCGATGCGACAGAGTGAGTGCTCATTATTTTCCCGACAGACTGATTTTAACGGAAAAATGAAATTTTTAGCCTAAAAAACTGCCAAAAGTCGATTTTTCTTTCGATTTTTGACTTGAAAATTTTAGGCGTTACTACACTTGAGGTGTATAATTTTTCCACAAAAAATCAATTCTTTACAATCAAAACTCGAGAAGTTACAGTCGATTTTCCGAGCGCACGGTGCGGTCAAATTTCCAAATTTTCCGCACAGTGCAAATGCATTTTCTTTATTTTTTGCACAGTGCAGTCAGGAAGATGAGCTTTTGGTTTTCACCGCACAGTGCAGCTAACTTTTTGTCGCTCGTCTCGCACAGTGCAGTGCACTTTTGCAATTTTTTGCACAGTGCGGTCAAAAAATGAGGCTTTGGTTTTCACCGCACAGTGCAGTGGAATCTTAGTCGCTTCGCACGGTGCGGTCAAGTTTTTCTATTTTTCGCACAGACATTTTCGATGCGACAGAGTGCTCATTATTTTCCCGACAGACTGATAATCTCCCTCTTACCTCAACACCCTCTAAACCCACCTAAAACATACCAAAATCCCTTTTATCTCCGACCTCACAGCCTCAACTGACAACCTGAACCTAAAAAGCCAGCCCATCCATCTTATGCAACCTTTTCCGATCCTCGTTATCGCGGTTTCCGATCTTTTTTTTGGACCGAAACCGCTCCTTCCGAAGATCAGCTGGAAGTTTGCAAAAAGTAAAGTGAGTAACCTGCGCTGATCCCTTCCCAAACTTGTAGTCTTTGTCTTCCCGAAACGATGGGCAATTAGTTAGAAACTGAGGAGGAAGCCAATTACGCGAAAAGTAGAAAAAAGTCATCAAAAAAGTTTACCGCACTGTGCGGCGGGGGATAAGAGAGAAATGATGGATTGCACTGTGCAAAAAAAATAAAAATGTTGATCGCACGGTGCAAAGAGAATGGAGGAAAATTGCACAGTGCAAAAAATTGAAGGTCGGATTGCACTGTGCAAGCGTAATGGGATTGCGCGACAAATCGCACGGTGCAAACAGAACAAAGGGAAAATTGCACTGTGCAAAAAATCGCAGGTCAGATTGCACTGTGCGAGCGCAATTCAATCGCGCGACAAATCGCACGGTGCAAACAGAACAAAGGGAAAATTGCACTGTGCAAAATATCGCAGGTCAGATTGCACTGTGCAACCCGAAGCAGCGACAAAGAAACTTCCAAATTTACCGCACAGTGCAATTCCGCGACAAATCGCACAGTGCAAAACGAAAATTGCCTTTGCACAGTGCAATTGATCAAAGAAAGAAATACGCGACAAATCGCACGGTGCAAACCAGAACAAAAGGAAAATTGCACAGTGCAAAAATTTATTGGTCAGATTGCACTGTGCAGCCAGAAGCAGCGACAAAGAAACTTTCAAGTTTGCCGCGAAATTCAATTCCGCGACAAATCGCACAGTGCAAAATGAAAATTGTGTTTGCACAGTGCAGTTGGTCAAAGGAAGAAATCAAAGTTTTTCACTGCACTGTGCAGGAAGAAGCTTTTTGCACTGTGCGAAGAATTTTCGAACAACAAAGTTTGGCTGCACGGTGCGGAATGCCATTTTTTTTGGCCGCACTGTGCGGAACGCCATTTTTTATTTTGGCTGCACGGTGCGGAACGAAAACTTGCACAGTGCAAAAATGGTCAAATTTTTACTGCGCGGTAAATTTAAAAAGTGGATTTGTATGTTTTAGAGGTAGGAGAAAAATTCTGAAAAGTCAATTTGACCGCACGGTGCGATAAAAATTAATTACCGAAAAAATTGTAAAAAAAATCGCACCGTGCGATGGGAA